TCAACAACAACAAGAACCACAACAAAACACCTTAATTCCAGTAACCAGCTTCATAAATGTCCCTGGCATTCTCAAATGCTAATCCTTGGTCTGTGTAACCACACCCACACCAAGCAGGCCTAATGGAGGTAACCCGAGGGATGTGCAGAATGGTAGGCTATAGGGCTGGAGATGCAGTTCAGTGGGACAGCATCTGCTTAGCATATGCAAAGCCCTGGGTTTGATTACCAGCATAGAGGGGGGAAAAGAAAAGACAGAAGAAAGGACAGAAGGAAAGAGAGAAAGAAAGAGAGAGAGAGAGAAAGAAAGAAGGAGAGAGAGAGAGGGAGGGAGGGAGGGAGGAAGGAAGGAAGGAAGGAAGGAAAGAAGGAAGGAAGGAAGGAAAAAGGGTAGCCAGTGCTGGTGGGTCACACCTGGAATCCTGACTACTCAGGAGGCTGAGATCTGAGAATCACAGCTCAAAGCCAGCCCAGGCAAAAAGTCTGTGAGACCCTTATCTCCCATTAAACAGCAAAAAGCTAGAAGTGGAGCTGTGGCTCAAGTGGTCAAGTGCTAGCCTTGAGCAAAAAAGCTCAGAGGCAGAGCCTAGGCCCTAGTTCCAGCCTCAGAACCACACAAAAGAGAGAGAAGACAGAGAGAGAGAGAGACAGAGACAGAGACAGAGAGAGAGGCAGAGAGGCAGAGAGACAGAGAGAGAGACAGAGGGGGGGTGACTTTCTAGCCCAGGTCATGAAAGTCCTCGAAGGCATCACCTTACTCTGGCTAGGACTTTCTGCACTGGAGGAAGCCAGCCTGAATGATGAGGATACTCAGGTAGTTACTGGAGGAGCCCACGTGACAAGAACAAAGACCTCCAGCCACCAACCAACATGAAATTGCCAGGTGTGTGCCTGATTCCTTGGATGGGTGGGTACTCTTCAGCCTTAACCAGATGTTTAGATGATTATAGCCTGGGCCAACTACTTGCTGCTGCTGCTGCTCCTCCGCCTTCTCCTTCTCTCACCCCCCTCCTGTTCCTCCTCCTTCTCCTCCTCTCCCCCCCCCACTTCTCCTCCTCCTCCTGTTCCTCCTGCTGCTTCTCTCCCCTCTCCCCCACCCCTTCCCTCTTCTCCTGCTCCCCCTCTTTCCTCTCCCTTTCCTCCCCATCCTCTTCCCACCTCCTTCCTCCTCCTTCCACCTCCTTTACCCTCCTCCTACTACTACTTCTTGTCAGTGAGCTTTTTTGGTTAAGGCTCTAGCACACTCCACCACTTTAAGCCACAACATCACTTCTGGGGTTCTGGTGGTTCAATGGATATAAGTCTCACAGACTTTACTGCCTGCCCAGTCTAGCTTTGAACCTCGATTCTCAGATCTCAGCCTCCTAAGTAGCTAGGGTTACAGGCATAAGCCACTGGTGTTCAGCTTGGGCCAACAACAACTTCTTCTTTTTCTCCTCCTCCTCCTTCCCCCTCCTCCTTCCCCCTCCTCATCCCCTCCTCATTCCCCCCCTCCTCTACCACCTCCTCCTCCTCCTCCTCCTCTCTTCTTCTTCTTCTTCTTCTTCTTCTTCTTCTTCTTCTTCTTCTTCTTCTTCTTCTTCTTCTTCTTCTTCTTCTTCTTCTTCTTCTTCTTCTTCTTGTCGGTCACGGGGCTTGAACTCTGGGCCTGGGCACTGTCCCTCAGCTCTTCAGCTCAAGGCTAGCACTCTACCACTGAGCCACCTTCCCAGCCCTGGGCCAACTTCTTCACTGTGTCCTTGTCGGCATCTTTGAGACAGAACCAGCCCAGCTAACTACCTGCTCCTGAATTCTTTGCTCACCGGAACTGAGAGATAATGAAGACGCTAAGGTTCATGGTGCTGAAATTCCAAATTCACTTGAAATAATGAATTTCTGAGATTTTTGGGCCACTGATTTTCTGCCTAGAATGTGAATTCCATGGGGAAGTAATCCCAGCTATCCAGGAGGCTGAGATCTGAGAATCATGGTTTAAAGTCAGTCCAGGCAGGAAAGTCTGTGAGACTCTGATCCTCAATTAACCAGCCAAAAGACAGAACTGGAGGTATGGCTCAAGTGGTAAAGTACTAGTCTTGAGTGAAAAAAGCTAAAGGACATTGTTCATGCCCAGAGTTCAAGCTCTAGTACTGACACACATGCGTGTATACACACACACACACACACACACACACACACACACACCAGAGTAGAGTTGTGTTTAAGTGGTAGAGCACCAGCCTTGAGCACTAAAGGAGAGCATGAAGCCTTAGTTCAAGCTCCAGTCCTGGAATATCCACACAGAAAGATTCTGTAATGAAGTGGTATGTGTCCTAGGAGAAGAACAGAGCCACAATTAAGATGGTCGAGCCTTCTATTTCCCATAATTGGGATAATTGATCCCTCCATTTTCCTGACACTAAGGACTTTCAGTGCTCAAAGAAAGAAAAATCCAAAATAAACCAGGATGAACTGGAGTAAGGGTGTGAAGACTTTGAAGCTGCCCTTCCAGCTATATGCCACCCTGTGGTTCACATGGCAACAGAGTCTATTTTTGGTTGCTATCTCAGGATACCTGAGGACAGGGTAATTGGAAAAGAAAAGGTATTTATTTTGGAAAAGACCATTTTGGAGACTGGGAGGTCCAGGGTGGAGGGGCTACCTCCAGTGAGGTACTTCTTACCTATGGAACTTCTACACAATTCTGAGGTAGCACCGTGCATCACACAGTGAGAAAGCACATGAAAGAAAGCCAAGAGAGCCAATGAGCTTTTTACTTGGGGGTGGGGGTAGAGAGGGATGCTAGGTTTTGATCCCTCCCTCCCTCCTTTATTTTGTGGGGAACTTGAGCCTCACCACACCTACTTAGCAAGTGCTCTACCACCTAAGCCACATCCTCATTCTCTGTATGGAATTTATTGCTTTGCCAGCTTTTGGTGTGTGTGTTTGTTGGTTTTTTGTCATGGGGCTTGAACTCTGGCCCTGAGTGCTGCAGCTCTTCAGCTCAAAGCAGGTGCTCTACCACTTGAGCCACAGCACCACTTCCAGTTTTCTAGTGGTTTACTGAAGAGTTTCATGGCTTTTCCTGCCTGACCTGGCTCTGAACCACGATCCTCAGATCTCAGCCTCCTGAGTAGCTGGGATTACAGGCGTGAGCCACTGGTGCCTGGTCATAGCTTTTGGTGTTTGAAGTGCTTAGCACTGATGCACTGATGCAATTGTTGAAAGAGTCTACCCTCCACAGCCCCAAGCATACCAGGTCATTTGGGGGTTATGACACTGTCCCTGGATCCCTACCATGAAGGCTTTCCAGGCTGTCTGTCATATATACCTGTGAATGATCTTGGGACTGGGAGTAGAGATGGAATGAATTTGGAGCACAGGTAAAAGAAGTAGGTATGGGAGGAAGGCAAACTGAACATGGACAACAGAGTCAGTATTGGAAAGGCATGAGGTGGTGGAAAGAAAGCCATTCTAGTAGTCAGGAACCTTTTCCACCCAGCTGGAATCTTTAAGAGAGGTGTTTTCTGTTTTGTTTTGTTGTTTTTTGCTTTTGTTTTTGCCAGTCCTGGGGCTTGAACTCAGGGCCTGGATATTGTCCTGGTGCCTCTTTCTGCTCAAGGCACTACCACTTGAGCCACAGCACTACTTCCAGCTTTTTCTGAGTAATTTATTGGATGTAAGAGTCTCACTGGGAAGGTGGCTCAGTGATAGAGTGCTTACCTTGCATGCATGAGGCCCTGGATTCAATTCCTCAGCACCACATAAACAGAAAAAGCCGGAAGTAGTGCTGTGGCTAAAGTGGTAGAGTACTAGCCTTGAGCTGAAGAGCTGAGGGACAGTGCTCACAACCAAAAAAAAAAAAAAAAAGAGTCTCATAGGCCTGGTGCTGGTGGCTCAGGCCTATAGTCCTAGCTACTCAGGAGGCTGAGACCTGAGGATTATGGTCCAAAGCCAGCCTGGACAGGAAAGTCCATGAGAATCATCTCTAATGAACCACCAGAAAACCTGAAGTAGACCTCTGACGCAAGGAGTAGCCTGCTGGCCTTGAGCAAAAAAGTTCAGGGACAGCGCTCAGACTGAGTTCAAGCCCCACATCTGACCAAAAAAAAAAAAGTCTCAGGAACTTCATTGCTCGGGCTGGCTTCTGAGAACCTGAGATCTCAGCCTCCTAAGTAGCTAGGATTACAGGCTTGACACCTGGCTTTTTATTTTCCTTTCCTTTCCTTTTCTCTCTCTCTCTCTCTCTCTCTCTCTCTCTCTGTGTATTGGTTCTGGCACTTGAACTCAGGGCATGGGTGCTGACCCTGAGCTCTTCTGCTCAAGGCTAGAGCTCTACCACTTTGACCACAGCTCCACTTCCAGCTTTCTAGTGGGTTAATTGGAAATAAGAGTCTCAGGGACTGGCTTTGAACTGGGGTCCTCGGATCTCAGCCTCCTGAGTAGTTAGGATTACAGCCATAAGCCACTAATGCCCAGCAGAAAGTTTGTTCTTTTTATAGCGTGGTAATTACTGCCTGTGGAGGCCCTGTACCACAAAAACACACAGTCAGGGGAGCAGGGGTGGGACAGGGTGCAGCTCAGTAGTATGAGAGGCTCTGGGTTGGATCCCCAGCACCAAATAAGGGGCTGAAAACCCACAGGGGCGCACAGAATTTGTAAGCGGTTTCAGGGGTTCACACGCCCAAGGCTGGGGCTCAGTCTCAGAATCCCAGGCAATAATTGTTGGCCATCCTCATTTTTTAGCCACGTGAACTGTGAGGCTCAGAATGGGGGGGACGGAGGGGCTCAAAGTAACAGCGCTGCAGGAGCTCAGAGGTCTGGCCCAGGTTCCCGCCAATCGTGTGTGTGTGTGCGCGCGCGCGCGTGTGTGTGTGCGTGTGTGTGTGTGTGTGTGTGTGTGTGCGTGTGTAAGGGGGGGCGGAGGGAGGCACAGAGGCGCAATGCCCACCTGGGAGCACGTAGAGAAGGGCGGGGCGAGCCAGGGGGCGTGGTCTGGCCCCGCCCCGCCCCCTCCGCCGAGATCGGGGGCGGGGCCTCCCTCCAACCTGCGCCGCTCCAACATGGCTCCGCGGTTGTGCAGCATCTCCGTGAGCGCGCGGCGGCTGCTGCGGAGCCCTGGGCCCCGCACCGGGGACGGCGCGGCTGCAGCTGCGGCGCGGTGAGAGTCAGTCGGGTTGGGGTGGCCCCGCGCGCTGGCGCGGGGATCGGGGCGGGGGGAGGGGTCCGGGGCCCAGGGCGGGGGGTGGGGAGGAGGGGGGCGGGGAGGAGCGGAGACTCCTTGGCTTGCCATCTTAGGGGTAGAGGCGGAGTCAGGAGCCAGGCCTGGGAAAGAATGGGGGAGAGTTCGAAAGGCAGGGGTAGGGGCTTTTGTTGTTTCGCAGTGTAGCCCTAGCTGGTCTTGAACTTGCAGTTCTGCCTCACCCTCTCAAGCGTTGGGCTTACAGGCGTGAACCACCATGCAGTGCTAGGCAGGGCTTTTATCCTATTGGGTATCTGGGTCTGGGTTGAGAAAGATGGGGTGAGTTGGAGGGCCAGGTGTTGGTTCCTGGAGAGTGGGAGGTGGCAGGGATACGATTAGCCAGCAACCCTTTCCTTGGGCCTTTCCCTAGCACTGTGATTATTTAGCACACACTGGAGGTGGGGGGAGGGAGGTGGGAGGGTGGGGGAGATGGGGGGACGACCTCTGGGCCTGGCAGCTCCTACCTGGAGAAGTTCTAGGGCGGAGAGAGATGGTGGCCAGAGGGTACAGTGGAGGGCCCCCAAAGGTCTGTACATTCTCAGCTTCCCCATCCTGAATGGTACAGGTGGGTTAACAGAGACCTCTGAGGGGATGGGAATTGCCCAAGGTCACTGTCCCTGCTGTGTCCTGGCTGTACTGATTCCAGGCAGTGTCTCCAGATGCACCATGCACTTTGTACCACAACTTGGAGCCTCCTGAGAGGAGACTGCTAGGCCATGTGCTCAGCCCTGCCTGTTGTTTGACCCTGCTCTGGTGCTCAGGCAGGGCTTGGCTTCTCCTGACTGGCCCTGGACAGCTCCTCCCTCCTCCTCCATGCCTATCACCCTGTGTGCCAACCTGTCTCTCTTACTAGGTCATTTGCTTATTTTTCTATATCCCCATTACCTCTCCCTCCCACAGTGCCCATAACAGGCCTCCCACTTGGGAGGAAGCAGGGTTCTTCCTACAGAATTGCCCCAGAGCCAAGCTGAAGAGCTCTGTTAGACCCTAGCTCTGTTAGAGCAGTGGGAGCTGTGGCTATGTTGGGGGAAGGCAGCCAGCCCAGCCATGTGCCCCTTACCTGGACTACCAAATAAGGAAGGAGAAAGCATCATGAAATGAGCTCAGAGTTTGCCTGGCACTAGTAAATCTAACTCAGCTTTTTTTTTTTTTTTTTTGGTGAGGTGACCTTGGGTATGTCATTGGACTTCTTCAAGTCTCAGATTCCTCATCAGTGTGTAAAAAAGGAAATAATACATATCTCATAGGCTTGTTTGTGCTTTTTTTTTTTAGTGTGCGTGTGTGGTTCTGGGGATTGAAACCAGGGTTTCACACCTGCCACTGAACTAGACTCCCAGTCCTCCTGGGATTGTTGAGGATTAAAGAGTTCTATGGTTAGTCATTTGCTGGTGGCTGTAATCTCAAATTCTAAGGAAGCTCAGATCTAAGGATCAAACTTTGAAGCTAGTCAGAAAAAAGCCCAACACTTTATTTCCAATTAATCAGCACAAAATTTGGACTGGAGTCATGGTTCAAGTGGCAGAGTGTCAGCCATGTGTGAAAAAGCAGAGTGAGAGTTCAAACGCTGGTTCTGGCACCATACGCACATGAACAGTCCGTGCTGGTTCATGCCTGTAATCCCAGCTGTCCAGGAGGTAGATAGCAGGAGGATCAAAGTTCAAATCCAGCCCTAGCAAAAATTTGGCAAGATCCCATTTCAACCAATAGCTGAGTGTGGTGGTACTTGCTTGTCACTCTTGCCCAGGTTGGCTTCAAACCATGTTTCTCAGATCTCTACTGCCTGAGTAGCTGCAATTACAGATGTACATCATCATACTTGTCCTTTAACTTGTGTGTGTGTATGTGCGTGCGTGTGCGTGTGCCAGTCGTGGAGCTTGAACTCAGGGCCTGGGTGCTGAGTTTGGCTCAAGGCTGGTGCTCTACCACATGAGCCACAGTGCCATTTCTGGCCTTTTCTGACTAGTTCATTGGAGAGAAGAGTCTCAGGGACTTTCCTGCCCAGGCTGGCTTTGAACCTCAGTCTTCAGATCTCAGATGTCTAAGTAGCTAGGATTATAGGTGTGAGCCACCAGCACCCAGCTAACTTATTTTTTGGCAATTCTGGGTTTGAACTCAGATCTTGTGCTTGCTAGGTAGGCACTCTGTCAATTGATCCATGTCCCCAACCTTGGCCTTTTCATTTTTATTTTTTTTGGGGGGGGCAGTATTAGGGATGGCATCCAGGGTCTGTTGCATGCTAGACAAATGATCTACTACTAAGGTACAGACCCCCTCCCCCAAAATTTTTTTTGAACTTGTGAAAATGTGTGCTTGAGGATGGTGGCTTGGAGTTCAGATCTACTCCAGCATCTTGCTTAGTCTCTGGGGGATTTTACCTGCAGAAATTTCCTTCTTGGGGTGGGGGAGTTGGGGGGAGGGAAAATAGGAGAAAAACGAGGGAGAGGGTAACAGTGTTGGACAAGAAATGTCTTCATTATGTATGTAACTATAACCCCTCTGTACATCACCTTGACAATAAAATTAAAAAAAGAAAAAAATCTCCTTCAGATTAGGCTGCTCTGCCTCATTCACTTAATAGATGGGAAAGCTGAAGCTCACAGGCAGGGAGCTTCTGAACCCCTCTTTGCCTCTCCAGTGTCCTAGCCCCCCAGGCTCTCTTCCCCAGGGCTGGCCTCTGGCTATTTATTCTGGTCACTACCTATGTTAATAGATTACTAGAAACCTAGCTGGGGAGCAAAGGTCTTGGTCCACAAATTGTGGAGCCACCTCTCTAGGGGTGAGGCAGCCCCTCTATAGTCAGACCAAAAATCCCACCCCAGGTGGGGGCTAGCCCTGCTCCCTGACTTGCTGTATGACCTTGGGAAGTTCCTTCAACTTTCCAAGCATAAACTATTTTATCTTCCCGAAAGTGGGAACAGGAAGAGTCACAGCATTATAAAGATCGTGGCATTGATCCTGTGAGAAATTGAGTCAGCATAGATCCCGGATTCAGACCCACTACACTACCCAGCTCATTCTAAGTTTTGTTTTTTAATTTGGTAAAGCTAAAATATATTGGCTTAAGCCAGGACCTGGTAGCTCATACCTGTAATCCTTGCTACTCAGGAGGCTGAGATCTGAGGATCGCAGTTCCAAGCAAGCCTGGGTAGAAAAGTTCTGAGACTCTTACCTCCAGTTAACCACCAGAAAACCGGAAGTGGTGCTGCGGCTCAAAGTGGTAGAGCACTAGTCTTGAGTAAAAGGAGCTCAGAAGCAGTGCCCAGGCCTAGAGTTCAAGCCCTAGGAGCAGCAAAAAAAAAAAAAAAAAAAAAGACTAGACTGGAGTTGTGGCTGAAATGCTAGAGGACTAGCTGAAGCAAGCAAGCTGAGCAAGCAGGCAGCTGTACTTCCACCCTGGGTATCAGTTAACAAAAAAACCCAGCATATAAAGAATGAAGAAATTGGGCTGGGATTGTGGCTTAGTGGTAGAGTGCTTGCCTAGCATGCATGAAGCCCTGGGTTCGATTACTCAGTACCACATAAACACAAAACAAAAAAAGCTGGAAGTAGCACTGTGGCTCAAGTGGTAGAGTGCTAGCCTTGAGCAAAAGAAGTTCAGGGATAGTGCCGAGGCCCTGAGTTCAAGCTCCCGGACTGACAAAAAAAAAAAGAAAAATGTAACCACCTACCTCCCCTCTGTCTTAGCTAAACAGAATAGTAGCTTCCTTTAACCCTGGTTTCATTTTCTTTTTTTGTCAGTCATGGGGCTTGAACTCTGGGCCTGGGAGCTGTTCTTCAGCTCTTCAGTTCAAGGCTAGCATTCTACCACTTGAGCCACAGTGCCACTTGCGACTTTTTCTGTTTATGTGGTGCTGAAGAATCGAACACAGGACCTTATGCATGCAAGGCAAGCACTCTACCACTTAGCCACCTTCCAACCTCTCAGTTTCATTTTCTTTTTTTTTTTTTGGGTCCGGTCGCGGGGCCTGAACTCTGGGCCTGGGCGCTGTCCCTCGGCTCTTCAGCTCAAGGCTAGTGCTCTACCACTTGAGCCACAGCGCCACTTCCGGCTTTTTTCTTTTTGCTTATGTGGTGCTGAGGAATCGAACCCAGGGCCTCGGGCATGCAAGGCAAACACTCTACCACTGAGCCAACTTCCCAGCCCTCAGTTTCATTTTCTATGACCCGAGTTGCCAGAGTTCAAATCCAGCCCTAGCTGGGGGTGAGCGTGGGGAATATAAACTGGGAACGTCCAAAAAATGAACCAGACCACATGGAATATGAACTGGAAAATCCTAGAAAAGAAACAAGACCATATTCACATGTATTTTCTACATATTACAGTTCTAGTTTATTATGATAGTGCCTAACATAAATTAAACTTTATGTTAAGTATGTACATATAGAACACATCTACAGTTGGACACTATCCTCAGTTTCTAATATCCACAGGGACTTAGAGCATATCCCTCATCCATAAGGGCAGACTTCTATTAACATTTCAGAACAAATCGCTTTTCATCTTCCTCTGTGACCAAACAAATCTATCACCATTATAAGATGATTGCTTTGTCATTTTGGTAATGGGGATTGAACCAGCACATTCTGTATCATTGAGGCTCACGTACCACCTCCCCATCAGATAATTCCTTCCCTCCCTCCCTCCCTCCTTCCCTTCCCTTCCTTCCTTCCCTTCCTTCCTTCCCTTCCTTCCTTCCTTCCTTCCTTCCTTCCTTCCTTCCTTCCTTCCTTCCTTCCTTCCCTCCTTCCCTCCCTCCCTCTCTCCCCCTCTCCCCTTCTCTTTCTCTTTCTCTCTTTCTTTGTGTATATGCTAGTCCTGGGGCTTGAACTCAGAGCCTGGGCATTGACCCTGAATTTTAGTGCTCAAGGCTAGCACTCTGTCTCTGAGACACAGCTTTACTTCCAGCTTTTGGTGGTTAATTAGAGATAAGGGTCTCACAGACTTTCCTACCTAGGCTGGCTTCAAACCTCCATCCTCAGGTCTCTGTCTCTCAAGTAGCTAGGATTACAGGTGTGAGCGACCACCATCAGACAGTCTCAGTTTAAAAGAAAGTAATATCTTTAATTGTCAGACATTTGTTCTATCCTCATAAAAGACTTGCAAGAAGAGAAGGCTTGCGCACACTACCAGGAATTCTCTCTCAGCAGACTTACTTTTCAGACCTCTCCAAAAGCTTCATTGAAGGCTGTAGGGTAAAAAGATAGCCTAAAAGAAGCTGTGTACTGGGGCCTTGGATGTGGGGTGGAGGGGCCAGGACCCAATGCCAGCTTACCCCGTTCATGGCACCACTGTAGAGGAAACCTTTGTTCTCACAGCACCCTGTCCAGGTGGGCAGGACAAATGAGTGAATAAATGAATGCATGCATCATGCTTTGTGATACCTTTTACCCCTCTCGGCCCCAGTTCCCCTCCTCTCTGTCCCAGAGGCCTGAGGCAGAGTTGGGGCTCTGTTGACTGTGTCCAGTCATTCTTGCCAAGGGCTGGAACCTCCTCCGGACAAGGCTTGTCTTTGGCTGTTTGTGGAGTGTGGGAGGTGGGGCGCAGGCCAGGTGCAGGATGGGCTCTGGGGAGGACTGAGTGTAGCTTTCTTGAAGCACAATACAAAAGAGCCTGTTGTGAGGCAGCAGGTCCGCCTCAAGTGGTATAGCACCTTGTTAGCAAGCACATGGCCCTGAGTTCCATCCCTAGTCCTGTGAAATAAAGCAAACAAGGAAACCTTAAAATGTTCACAGAGGTCAGTTACAGTGGCTGGTATCTCAACTCCTCAGGGCATGGAGGCAGAAACTAGGAGGACCCCCATCTGAGGCTGGACTGGGCAAAAACATAAGACTATCAGAAAAAGAAAATAACTAGAGCAAAAATGGTTCGAGGCAACTGGGAGCTGGTGGCCCATGCCTGTAATCCTAGATCCTCAGAGATCTGAGGATCGCTGTTTGAAGCCAGCTGGGCAGGAAAGTCTATGAGACTCTTATCTCCAATCCCAAAGATAAGAAGTAGTGCTGTGATGCCAAGGGGTAAAATGCTAGTCTTGAGCACAACGTTTAGGGAGAGTACTCAAGACCTGAGTTCAAGCCCCAGGACTGACCAAAAAAAAAAAAAAGGAAAATCCAGAAGTGGCACTGTGGCTCAAGTGGTAGAGTGCTATTCTTGAGCAAAATAATCTCAGAGACAGCACACAGGCCCTGAGTTCAAGCCCCAGGACTGGCAAAAATGGCTAGACGCATGGTTCAACTGATAAAACACCTGCCTAGCAAGGGTGAGACCCTGAGTTCAGACCCCAAACCATGTTTGCGTGCGCACACACACACACACACACACACACACACACAGCTTGGAGCGTTGAGGTTAGCGCACACCTGGGGAATGGGGTACCCTGGGAAGGCAGGGAGTGTCAGGAGCAGAGACTGGTGAGATTGGTTGGGTTGGTCAGGCGGGTTTGGGGGTTGATCCATTTGACAGGAGGCTACCATCGTGGCAAGTAGATAATGTGGAGGCACCGAGGCTGGAATGAAGTGGTGAGAGGTGAGGCTCCCTCTCCTGGCTTCCTAGTCTCTGCAGAGTTTCAAGACACAGACTGGGCAGCTGAGATCTCTGTAGAAGGGACTCCATTGGCTCTATTGCCAGAATGTGGGTCACCAGCCTGGGATGCAGGATAGTTGGGCAGACAGAACTATGTGTGTTCCCGTGGCCTCCCCCGCCCCACCCATGAGTCTTCCGACCTCTTCTGTGTCCTCCAGTTTCTACTCCAAGGACAATGAAAGCAGCTGGTTCCGCTCCCTCTTCGTCCACAAGGTGGATCCCCGGAAGGATGCCCACTCTACCCTGCTGTCCAAGAAGGAGACCAGCAACCTCTACAAGATCCAGTGTGAGTGGCTGCCAGCCCAGTCCTCTCAGGGCAGCATGGAGACGATGTCCCATGCCTGCCACCCTGACCCCACCCACTGCGAATGCCCGTGCCTGCTCTGCTTCACCCACCCCCCCCCCCCCCAACTGTCCTCTGTTGCAGTTCACAATGTGAAGCCTGAGTGTCTGGATGCCTACAACAGCCTCACGTGAGCATCCTCCTCCCTCAGCCTCCCATCCTGCCCGTACCCACCCATCCTCAGAACATTCCCCCCACCTCTTTCTCCTCCTTGCGGGAATCAAGGGAAGGGGATGAGCTCAGAACTGGAAGGTTTAAGGACATCTTGTCTTGTATTACGTTCATCCTGGGGCCTGTAGGGCCCAGCCCTTCACCATGCTCCTCCCACAGGGAGGCCGTGCTGCCCCAGCTGCACTTGGATGAGGACTATCCCTGCTCGCTCGTGGGCAACTGGAACACGTGGTATGGGGAGCAGGACCAGGCAGGTGAGATGCTTGCCTCCCTGGGGGCTCTTGGCACCCCTCCCATCTCGCTGTCCTCCACTCCCTCCACAGCAGCTCCTGCAGTGGGCTGCACTCTCGGGCAGCCCATGAAGCCTTCCATACTCAGCCATGGCTAGTCCCCTCCCACTTAGGCCTCCCCAGTTCCGTTCCCCAGAAGGAACATTTCCTGTTCAGTTTTTTATTTTTTTTTTTGCTTATGTGGTGCTGAGGAATCGAACCCAGGGCCTCATGCATGTAAGGCAAGCGCTCTACCACTGAGCCACCTTCCCAGCCCTCCCTTGGCTTGCTTTATTGGTTCACCTGTCTTTCATCTAGTTTTATTTAACATGGACATCACTTCCTCCTGGAACCCCTCCCTGAATTTTCTCCACTCAAGCTGGGCTAGGAACCTCCCCCGGCTCTCCAGGCCCCAGTTCACGCCTCTTCACGTTCTCATCTTGTGCCTGTAGCTGTCTCTTCCTGTATGTTCTGAGTAGCACATGTAGCACAGTTTTGTAGGGTGCCCTCAGACCCTATCTACAAATAGCTATCTTAGATTTAGTTAAAATTAAATGCTAAAAATCTATTTCCTCAGTCACTCCCTATAGCCACGTTGAGTGCCTACGTGACCTGCAACGGCTACCTTGGACGGCTACAGAACAGTTTTATTATAGCATAAGGGCCTTTTGGAATCTGCCTTGCACACTTTGTGTGTGTGTGCGCGCGCGCGTGTGCGCATGCATGCCGGTATTGTAGCTTGAACTGAGGGCCTAGACATTGTCTCTTAGCTTTTTTGCTTAAAGTTGGTGTTCTGCCAACATAGGCCATAGCTCTGCTTCCCATTTTTTGCTGATTGATTGGAGATAAGAGTCTCCTTGAATGCCGGGCGCTGGTGGCTCACGCCTGTAATCCTAGCTACTCAGGAGGCTGAGATCTGAGGATTGCGGTTCAAAGCCAGCCCAGGCAGGAAAGACTGTGAGACTCCTATCTCCAATAAACCACCAGAAAACCGGAAGTGGCACTGTAGCTCAAGTGGTAGAGCGCTCGCCTTGAGCTGAAGAGCTGAAGGACAGCGCCCAGACCCAGAGTTCAAGCCCCACGACCGACAAAAAAAAAAAAAAAAGAGTCTCCTTGACTTTCTTGTCCAGGTTGGTTTCAAGCCATGGTCCTCAGATCTCAGCCTCCTGAGTAGCTAGGATGCCAGGCGTGAGCCACCAGCGCCTGATTCCCCTTGTCACACTTAACCCATGTTGGAGCCACTCATTGTCCTGGCAGCCCCCTGACCTGTGCCCTTCCCAACAGTGCACCTATGGCGATTCTCAGGCGGCTACCCAGCCCTCATGGACTGCATGAACAAGCTCAAAAACAACAAGGTATGTGTATGTCATCACTTCTGCCCCCAAAGGCTCTACCTCCCCACGGGACCCACTGCTGGTGGGGGTCACTTCCTGATCAACATGCCCACATTGCCTGGTCCCCAGGAATACCTGGAATTCCGGAAGGAGCGGAGCCGGATGCTGCTGTCCAGGAGGAACCAGCTGCTTCTGGAGTTCAGCTTCTGGAATGAGCCACAGCCCAGAGCCGGCGGGAACATCTATGAGCTGAGGACCTACAAGCTCAAGGTGTGTCCCTCTCTAATCTCCCACCCTCCCGGCAGCCGTGCTGCTTGGCAGCTGGCCCGAGGTGGGCTGGCCCTGGACCCCAGCCTCTGGACTGGGCTTTTCCTCTGTCCCTTGGAGCACAGAACAGGTGTACTGACACGCATGTGTACACCTGAATCCCGGCCGAGAGGCCCTGGGGCGTTGGGGACAGTTGAGATGCTGGGAGTCAAAGGGGCTCATTGCTCTTCCTTCTGGTTCTTTTTCAGCCAGGAACCATGATCGAGTGGGGGAACAACTGGTAAGGAGCAGCCCCGGGGCTGAGGGTGTAGGGGAACCATGGGCCCCTGGGTGGCCACTTGGCGAGGGGCACATGGCAGAGACCCCAAAGGAGGAGCAGCCTAGAGATGCAGACCTAGAGGGGATAAGGTCTCTCCTGGTAAAGCAGCAGCCAGCGGTGGTACCTACAAAGTCCCATGCCCCAGCCGTCCATCCTGCCAGCCCCAGGCCCCAGTCAGGCAAGGATTCAACCTGCATCCACCTCGCCCTGGCCTCTATCCCCCACTCTGTGCCTTTCCAGGGCCCGGGCCATCAAATACCGGCAGGAGAACCAGGAGGCTGTGGGCGGCTTCTTCTCACAGATAGGGGAGCTCTACGTTGTGCATCACCTCTGGGGTAGGTTATGGGCTCCTGGGAGGCTTCTGCTGGTCCCCTCCCTCCCATGTCACTCCATGTGCCTTTATGGAACTCACATTCTAGCAGAGGGACACTCTATGTCAGCCAAGAACTTGCCAAAAATGACTCCTTTCAGATGATTGCTGAGACTGTGGAAAGAAGACAGAAAGAGATGATAGAGGAAAACTTGAATAGGGAAAGAAATCCTTCCTGAAGGCTAAATGTAAATGCAGAGCCAGCTGTGATTTGCTGGAGTGAAACATGGCAAGTGGAGGGAACAGCATGTGCAAAGGTCCTGTGGTAGGGGGCCTCTGGGAGGTTGGTATAGGAGTGAGTGAGGAAGAGAGTATGGAGATGGAATAGGAAAGGAGGACAGATAGCCAGATCGTTATATGCCTCACAGGCTGTGGATGAGCCGGGATTCACCGGAAATAAACTGGGAGCTGTAGTAGTAGTAAACAATTCTGGTTGTTAAGTGCCTAGGGACAGTAGAGAAGAACTTAACATGAGCTCAAGCAGGTGAGGATGGGGCCTGGTCTCAGGTAGTAACACAGGTGCTGAGCCTAGAGACCGTGAACAAATGCTATCCGAGATTGAGTTATCCCTGGGGGGTGAGGAAGGAGGATGCCAGCAGAGTTCCCAGGCCCTGTCCTAAAATAACTGTGTCATTTTGTCAAGACTGGGAGATCTTGGGGAGGAGCAGGGTGAAGGCCTAAGGAAGGTAACATTTAAGATCCTGGCATATCCAAATACAGATGGCATGCAGACACAGCATATTGGAGAATCTCGAGGACAGTTTGGGGCTGCAAGTAGAAGTTTAAGAGTTGTCAAGCCGGGCAACAATGAGATGTGCAAGATGCTATGTCAAAAAACGAACTTTACAATTTAGGTGGGGTGGGGGTGGGGGAGGTGTAGTTGTGGAGATGGGAGGGAAAGGAATGGTAGGGGAAAAACAAAGGAGGAGGCAACAATGCTTGATAAGAAACGTACTCATTACCTTGCTCATGTAACTGTAACCCCTCTGTACAGTACTTTCACAATAAAAAACTTACTTTAAAAAAAAAAGTTGTCAAGCCGGTGCCAGTGGCTCACACCTGTATGTAATCCTAGTTACTCAGGAGGCTGAGTTCTGAGGATCATGGTTCAGGAACATCCGTGAGACTCTTATCTCCAGTTAACCACCAGAAAAGCAAAGTGGTGCTGTGGCTCAAGTGGTAGAGTGCTAGCCTTGAGCCGAAGAGCTGAGGGACAGCGCCAGGCCCAGAGTTCAAACTCCACAACCACCACCACCAACAACCAAAAAAGAGTCATCAACACATGTACACTTCCTAAAATCCCAAAGGCCTTTTTCTACCTCAGGGCCTTTGCACATGCTGTACCTCTTTCTTGAAGCACTTTTCTCCAGCAGTTCACAGCTGGCTCCTTTTCATCCTTTAGCTCTGACCTTACATTTACTCCCTGGGAGTAACCTTTTTTGTCTTGTCACCTGAGTTTTCTCTTTCATGTCTTCCTGTCCTTTTTCATAAATATTATTTGTAATTCTTTTTTTTTTTTTTGGACAAGTACCTGGGTGAGACTGACAAAGGCAATGTTTGCTGATGGTCTGAGGGAGGCAACTGGGGAGGAAGAGGTAGCAGGCCAGACTTGGGGTGGTAGGAAGGGCCCTGTGCTCCGGGAGATCATCTGTGTGTGATGAATGCGCTTGTGCCTTTTCCACAGCCTATAAGGACCTGCAGTCTCGAGAAGAGACTCGAAACGCTGCCTGGAGGAAGCGGGGCTGGGATGAAAATGTTTACTATACAGGTAAGTGCCTCCTCTGGGTGGGTCAGTGGGGCCTTCAGAGGACATTTGAGGGGAGCCCCATGTGGGCATGAGTCTCCCTGCACAGACAGCCTCATTTGATCACCTCTAGTGATGAGGAACTGTTTTGCAGTTCTACCACTTGAGCTATACCCCCATCCCTTTTTGCATTCGTTGTTTATTTTTTGTCAGTTGTGGGGTTTGAACTCAGGGCCTACGCGCTGTCCCTGAGCTCTTTTGCTCAAGGCTAATGCTCTGCCACTTTGAGCCACAGCTCCACTTCTGGTTTTCTGGTGGTTCATTGGAGATGAGTCTCATGACTTTCCTACCTGAGCTGGCTTTGAATATCCATCCTCAGGTCTCAGCCTCCTTGAGTAGCTAGAATTACAGACGTGAGCCACCAATGTCTGGCTGCATTTGTTATTTTTATGTCTAGAGTCACCCTGAGCAGCCTCAACCCATGATCTTTCTACAGATAGCCTCTTGTTTTGAGGGAGTCTTGCTTTTGTCCCCAAGGCTGGCCTCACACAATGATACTCCCATATCTCTCTCTAGAGTAGTTGGGATTACAGGGATGAACTACCCTGTGGGCCCTAATTTATGAGCAAGTTTTTTTTTCCTTTTTTTTTTTTTTTTTGCTGGTCCTGGGGCTTGAACTCAGGGCCTAGGCCCTGTCCTTGATCCTCTCTGTGCTCAAGGCAAGTGCTTTACCACTTGAGCCACAGCACCACTTTTTCTGTCTATGTGGTACTGAGGAATTGAACCCAGGGCTTCATGCATGTTAAGCAAGCACTCTACCACTAAGCCACATTCCCAGCCCAATGAGCAAATTTTTGCTCAGTGTGTTACCACTTTGCTAGAAGCCAACAGAACCCCCTGGAGTCAGTCAGTGGGACAGACCCCCATCATGGGGGCAGGACGCTGTGGTGAGTGACTGGTTGTTGGCAGATAGGTAAATAAGAGCCTGTCTTGGCCCTTGACAAGGAGCCTACAGTGATGCTTCCTCACTTCCAGCTGGTGTGAGGAGATGTGTTTGCGACAGGTAGCCCAGGCTGGCCTCAATCCCTCAATCTTCCTGCCTCAGCCTGTCAGTTACATGTGCACTACCACACTCAGTTAGAAACTGTACTTTAACTAGAAGGTGATTTCTCTTAAATCACAGTCCAAAAAGCTCCAAGCAGGAAGCCGAAATTTCACCTTCAGGGTGACTGTCAGCTAACTGGGTTGCAGATTCCTCTGCAGATCTGAAAAAAGGAGTTAGTTGGACCAAACAAATGTTTCTTTTGGCTAGTCCTGGGTTTTGAACTTAGGGCCTGGGCACTGTCCCCGAGCTCTTTCACTCAAATGAGCACTCTACCACTTAGAGCCACAGTGACACATGTGGTTATCTGGTAGTTAGTAAGAGTCTCATGGATTTTCCTGCCTGTGCTGGCTTTGAATTGTGATCAGGTGTGAGCCCCTAGCACCCAAGCCAGCCCCTCACAGCTTTTCTGCCAGTATATTACCACCAAGGTTATCTTGTTTTCCCCCCTTTTGGTGCTTTGAACCCTGTACCTTGCATAAGCTAATAAACATGTACTCTGCTACTGAATTCCACTCCCAGCCTTATAAATACCTTCTTGATATTTTTTTTTCCAACTATCCTACTTTATCCTTAACCCGTCTTTGTCCTTAACAGTATCTGTGAAATCATTATTTGTGTGTGTGCCAGTCCTATATTGCTTAAGGCTAGCTAGCATTCTACCATTTGAGCCATAGCTCTACTTCTAGCTTTTTTGGTGGTTACTTGGAGATAAGTTTCTCAGGGACTTTCCTGCACAGGCTGGTTTCAAACTGCGATCCTCAGATCTCAGCCTCCTGAGCAGCTAGGATTATGGGCATGAGGCACCGGTGCCCAGCTACAAAATTAACTTTTACTTAACTAGTTTGTTTCTGTGGTACTTTGGATGGAACCCAGACCATCATTCAAGCTATTCAAGTGCTCTACCCCTCAGTTACATCCCCTCCCAAACTATTTGGTTCACATGCATAGGATAAAAAAAATCTTTATCTCATCTCAACCAAAGTCCTCTTATAATGTATTCTCCATTGGCGCTTCTAGAAGGGCAACAGGACCTCCTTTCCTTTCACATGGGTGTGTGTGTGGCTGTGGCCTCAGTCCTCTTTGTGACCTCTTCTCTCTCCACAGTCCCCTTGGTGCGACACATGGAGTCTCGGATCATGATCCCCTTGAAGATTTCTCCTCTCCAGTGATCCTGCTGATGCCTCTGCCTCCTTCCCCTTCTCCCTCAGGGCAGCCTGGGACAGCAACACTCTTGGTCCTGATTTTTTCTCTCTGCTTTGGAAGGACTCTAAAGAGTAGTGCTTAACTCAAAGCTGACAATTGTTCTGAGCATGACAGCATTTTCCAGAAAACACCTTCTCCCACGCCCATCAATCTCCTTCCCCCTGCTGGAAGTAGTTTTTTATTTCCTTGAATGAAGCATTAACAACCTTTTAGGTTTTCTCCCATTTCCTCCTCCCCCCAAGATTCTTTTTCTCAAGGCCACCAGACCTTAATTATCATGATGGATATGATTTAGTTGCACAAAAGATAGCATGACCCATGGTTGGAGGTGGAGTATTGGGAGGCTAGAGGTTAGACTAGGCCTGATCCTTGGAATTTACTGGTCACCATTGGACTATCCACTTGGACAAGCAAGTTCCAGCCAAATCCTTTCTGAGAGGCAAAAGCCCGGAACTGCCCTCCACTCAGCAAGAGCAGGAGATCCAGGAGACACACATGGAACAGCTATCCATGTGAGAACTTAGTGTTCAGAACGTGGGTTTGAATTACAGAATTTGGAATACAGGATTGTTAAGAAAGAGTTGATACAAGCCCTGTGGTGGGGGAGGAGAGTTTCATCTAATATTAGATGGAGAGAAGATTGCCTGCTTCTTCCTGCTAGTTGTAACCTCTTGCCCTCCTTCTGACAGGCAAAGATAGGGACCAGGACCTGTATCTTCCTCCCCTTTCATTCCCTCTCCCATACGTGGACATTTTGTTAAGGAGACTTAATAGAGCCCAGCAGGTCTAAGAAGTGGAGCCGATGGCTGGGGGAGGGAGTCATGTCTGCTCAGTGATCCTCATGCCTCTACTCAAGCTTGATTGTGCCTCCTGTCTGGACAAACGTGTGGAGTTGCTGACGGAACCAATTAAAAGATTTCTATAAATATTGACGTCTTCTTCAGGGAACCTCAGCAGATGCCCAAGGCAGGGCGCAGAGCCCTGCTCCCGGGGTAAGGTAGTGAAGGCCTGAGCTATTCCTGGAGGGTTCCTTCACCCTCATCGCCGGGCAAGAGAAAGGCACCGTCTGCACACGTGGAGAGTCAGGACGCGGGTGTTTCTAGCTCCCGATGAGTTTCCTGCCGGAAATGCTGGCGCGAGGGGTAGGAAAGGCCTGGGAGTTTCCAAATACACTACGGCTGTGGTTTCTGTCCTTGGCAACAGGCCTGAGGTGGAGAGGCGGGTGTGCAATGGGGGAAGTTATGCCCGTCCCGATCTGCGCCCTCCCGGGTGGCGGGGCGCGGACGGAAGCGCAGGCAAGCCCGCCGTGCCCAGGTTCTGCGCTGCGGCCTGAGCTGCGGGGCAGCCGAGCCGCCCCGGCCTCGGTCCGAACACCGAGGCCACGCCCGCTCGCTGCTGGCACGCTTACGCGACGGGGCGGGCACGAGGCCCGCGAGTCGACTCGGTCCGCACAGCCTCAGCTTCCCGGTCTTAGAGCAGCGGATCACGATGTGGAAGCGCGGCTCAGCGGGGACGCACGGCTCTTCCGACTCGGCCAACCGCTCTCCCCGCCCGCCGCGCTTCACTTCCGGGCCGCACTTCCGGACTCCGAGCCGCACTTCCGGCGTGCCGCTCCTTCCTTCAGCTCCTCTCTATGGTTGGCGGAAGTGAGTCGCCCCGCTGCCGGAAGTCGCTCGCGCGCGCCGGGGAATCGGATTCTGTGGTGAGGAGCGGGTCGGTGCGGCGGGGTGGTGCGGCGGGGGATTTCGGGCCCGAAAAGTGCCTCTGGTCTGAGGCCCTGTCCAGCTCCTCCGCCTTCACTCGCATGTCCCATCGCTGGGCTTGGGGCCGTTTCCATATCTCCCCCAGCCCACGGTGTGGCCTGGTGGTGGTGGTGGTGGTGATGATGATGATGGTGGTGATGATGGTGATGATGATGATGATGATGATGATGATGATGGTGGTGGTGGTCGTGGTGTTAACCATTCCGTTAATTGTGCCTTTTTGTGTGCCGGGGACTTAGGTGTGACGCCAGAAGTTGGGGTTTCCTACACTGAAGCCTTTCGGGTTCCACCTTGGTGGGTTGTGCCAGATCAGTTTGTCTCAGTACAACTTTTTGCAAAGGATTTTTAATCCAGGGGTCTTTTTTTGGGGGGGTGGTAGGAGTGCAAGTGCTGGGGGTCAGCCAGTGGCTTCGCGCATACAGGACAAGCGCTCTCTCACGGAGTTCTAGTCCCTTTTTAAACTTAAATTCAGTCCCTTTTTAGCTTAAATTTACTTTGTGAGAAAGGTTCTGATCTCTTCACTACATATAGAAAACGGCCATCGCTTATGCAGAAGATACTGATTAAAAAATTAATATTTTTGGCAGATGGAGGTGACTCAAATCTGTAATCTTAGCTACCCTGGAGGCTGAGTTCGCTGTTGGACAAACATTTGGCGGGGGTGGGGCACAACCTTCTTAGCCAGTAAAATAGCTGGGCTGTGGCTGGCGGTTGTCATCTCAGCTAGGAAGCCTAACTAGGAACAGGATAAGTCCAGGCTCAGATCCAGACATAAATGCTAGCTCACGTTCCCAAAACTAAAGCAAAGTGGATTGAAGGTATATATTTCAAGGGCTAGAGTTCCTGCCTTACAGAACTCTACATTCAATCTTCAGTTGGCATAGTAATGTAATAAAAACAGACCATTGCTAACTTTTGCTTATTGTCAGAGAGGTAGTCTTTTTGTTACAAAGTGACACTGGTATTTGTAGAAGTTCAAGAGAAACTAGGCAGCCAGACTCTGGTGTCTCAAACCTATAATCCTAGTTACTTAGAAGGCTGAGCTCTGAGGATCAAGATTCAAAGCCAGCCTCCAGCAGAAAAAGTCAGACTCTAATCTCCAGTTAACTGGCAAAAAGCCATAAGTGGAAGTGTGGCTCAAGTGGCCTTGAGTGAAAATCCAAGCAAGAGTGTAAAACCCTGAGTTCAAGCCCCAGTACTCACACAAAGCAACTAGGAGGCAATTAAATCCTACACTGTACCCCCCTCCAATTAGGGAATGAACTTCAGGGCTTCGTATTTGCTAGGTGAGAACTCCAGTACTTCAGCTATGTCCTCAGCAATCAGAAGTTTCAAAAAAAAAGAAAATGGATGAGTGGACATAGTAGTTCTTGTAATCCTAGAACTCAGGAGACTGAGGCAGGAAGGTCTCAAGTTTGAAGCCAACTTGGGCAGTTCATTCAGACCCTGTATCAAAAAGGGAGGAGGTGGGGATTACTGTCTCCCTGGGTGCTTACCACTACCTAAGATCACTCATGTACTTTCTACAGCCACATTCCTCATTGTGTTCATCTTTCCCAGCACAGTTATTTTGAAATGACACTATTGCTAGGTGGATCCCCTTCCAATTCAGCCCTCCCCCCCCCCCTTTTTTTTTTTTGGCTTTGGGGCTTGAACTCTGGGTCTGGGCCCTGTCCATAAGCTCTTCAGCTCAAGGCCTGCGCTCTACCACTTGAGTCATAACACCATTTCCACAGTGCTTTGTATTAATGGCTCCTAACAGCCCCTTAGTTAGAGACTGTTATTCTCATTTGATTTGAAGAAGCAAATCTAAAGGAGCCAACACAGAATGCCACAATATTGGTGCAAGGAGATTCCAATCCAGGAATCTCCAAATGCATCACAACTTATTTGGTGCTCTCCAGAAGTATTGGTGAGATTGATTGGGCATACACCTGGAGGTGATGACCGAGGGGTGGCAAGGGAGGATGTTTTGTGGTCATAGAGCTCCATGAAATGCATTCTTTTTTTTTTTTTTTTTTTTGGTCGGTCGTGGGGCTTGAACTCTGGGCCTGGGCGCTGTCCCTCAGCTCTTCAGCTCAAGGCGAGCGCTCTACCACTTGAGCTACAGCGCCACTTCCGGTTTTCTGGTGGTTTATTGGAGATAGGAGTCTCACGGTCTTTCTTGCCTGGGCTGGCTTTGAACCGCGATCCTCAGATCTCAGCCTCCTGAGTAGCTAGGATTACAGGCGTGAGCCACCAGCGCCCGGCGAAATGCATTCTTTTTTAATTTCATGGTTAAGCACCAATGAGTGGCCTTGACATATGGGATGCTGGCTGGAGTAGGTAGTACAGTACGAGAAGGACTAGTGGACATCACGTGTACCTATGCTTTAGCACACTAGTTTGAACCACTAATGCAGCCACATTTCCAGGCCTCAGTGAAATGGTAGTGATTCTTGCCTGAAAAGTTTGTTTTAAGACTCAAATGAGGACATACCCATAAAGTGCTTACAAGACTCAACCCACAGGACCAACCAGTAGTACTGGGACCAACCTTGTTCACCACACAGGAATTTGGGGGTAAATTTATGGAGCTCCGAGGGAAGAATCTAGGCAGGAAGACAAGCACAGATAAATTTCCTAATAGTTTATGCAAAGTACCCCAAAGAGTTCCTTAGTGAGACCTCAGAGGCTTCCCAGAGCAGAGGAGCTTTGCTTAGTGGAGAAGTGGAGAGGATGAAGAGAATTTCAAGGCAGGGAAAGCCTGTGTGCTATTCTGGGAGCTGTGAGTGCTGTGAGTAGTTGCAGCTAGGGGTAGAGATCAGAGGCAAGGGAGGATTAATAGGAATGGGAGAAGTGTGGTTGGGAAGGTGGGTTGGGGATAAACCAGGAAGGGACTTTATGCAGGGCCAGGAAATAAAGGCTTCGTTCTATACATTATAAAGAGGCAGCAAAGATTTTGAAACAGGCTGGTGTTATTTTTTGTGCCGATCCTGAATCTTGAACTCAGGTCACTGTCCCTTAGCTTTTTTGCTCAAGGCTGGTGCTCTACCACTTCAGACACAGTGCCACTTCCAGCTTTTTGGTGGTTCCTTGGAGATAAGAGTCTCACAGGCTTTCCTGCCCAGGCTGGCTTTGAACTGTGATCCTCAGATCTCAGCCTCCTGAGTAGCTAGGGTTACAGGCATGAGCTACACAGCTAGACTGGTCTTTTGAAAGAAAGGATTTAGACAGTAGTGTTAGGCAATACTGAGAGGAGCATGGAGGCCTGACCTGTAGGGTGTTTATAGGGACAGCGTGTCACCTGGGGCTGCAGGACACTCTGGGTAATGAGCTGGGTCTGAGGGGGTAGAGGAGGGAGAGGTTGAAGGTGATTCTGGGATGAATGGAGCATGTAATGAAGCTTATTTGAAAAGGGAGACAAGGACCAGAGATGTAGATCAAAGGTAGAGCACTGGCCTAGCCTTACCAAAGCCTACAGTCTGACCCATAGCACCTGGAGAAGGGAGAGGAGATGGAGCAGACAAATTCATTTTGGAGAAGCTGAAGGATGATTCTCTGTGAGAGGATTCAACCCTATGGAAGGTTAAGTGATTTTTTTTTTCCTGGTTCTTGGGCCTGAACTCAGAGTCTTTTTACTTGCTTTTATGTTGGTACTCTACCACCTAGGAGATGCCTCCAGCCCAGCTTTTTGCTAGTTATTTGGAGATAGAATCTCTGACTTTTCTGCCTCCGTTGGCTTCAAACCATGATCCTCCTATCTCAGTTTCCTGAGTAGCTAGGATTACAGAAATGAGCTACTGCACCCAGCTGTATATTTTCTTCAGTTACTAAGACTGTAGAATACCAAATCTGCTAGTCAGACTCTGGAAGAATCTCAAAAACTTTCTCCTTTTAAGAGCTCTTTGCTGTTTGCCTTCAGACTTCTAGGGACAGCCATGTCATCAGAATCCAGCAAAAAACGGAAACCCAAAGTGATTCGAAGCGATGGAGCTCCAACTGAAGGAAAAAGAAGTCGATCTGACATTGAGCAGGTGAGACTAGCCAGTTGTTACCACGCACCTGAGAAATTGCAGCTGTGGCCCATGGTGAGACTCGCAGAGCCTCAGGTTCTGTTCACTTCAGGGCTAACAGCAACATCCCAAGAATTACCAGACCTGTAGGAGACATGATTAATACCACACAGAGCATGTTCCAATGTGATACAAGGCTCCAGTTCTCCTGATGGTCCAAAAAAGGCAGTGCCTCAGCAGCACAGTGCTGGAGCTCTGGAAATATTGTATCCCTGGATCTGCCATTAACAGGGTACCAGAACCACATGCCCCTGAATCTAAGTACCGCTCAGCAGGATTTTGGTTACATGGAATCTGGTATGTCTTCTTCATAGGAGGCTATCATGCAGCCATTTTGTTATTTGAAGAGAATCTACTGCAAACAGCCTGGACAATATGATCCTATCTTGCTTAAAAGTAAAACATGTACTTACAATATTCACAAATTAATTGTTTGGTGCGAGGAAGAGATGTGTGGAAGAGATATTGTGGGCAATTTTCCATTTTCTTTTTGATATTTCTCTGTTCAGAATTATTTTCACCAAACATGTGGTGATTACTTTGTAATCAAAAAGAGAAAAGGAGGGGCTGAGGGGTGTGGCTCAGTGGTAGAGTGCTTGCCTATCTTGCCAAAGGCCCTGGGCTTGATCCCTAACACTGCAAAATGCAGAGAGAGAGAGAGAGAGAGAGAGAGAGAGAGTGAGTTAGAGCTCTACTTTGAAAACAAGCTACTTGACTTGGAGCTAATCTTATGTAATGAGAAACTTCAGCCCAGTTCCCTCCTCCCAATAAGAAGGCTTTCACCCCCTACCTGGAGCCTCTCTTCTTGCCTCCACAGGAAGGTAAATACTATAGTGAGGAGGCTGAGGTGGACCTGCGGGACCCTGGGAGAGACTATGAGCTGTACAAGTACACGTGTCAGGAGCTGCAAAGGCTGATGGCCGAGATCCAGGACCTGAAAAGCAGGGGCGGCAAGGATGTGGTAAGGAGTGAGGCCAGGGAGCCATGGGCCTGCTAAGTCTGTGTAGATGGTGCTTCTTTTGCCCCTAGCAGGGCCTTTCCTGATCTTGGCCTTCTGTCCTAGCCATGATCAGGTGATTGGGACCTAGAGGCTCTCAAGCCTATTCATTAATTGGAACTTATCATCACTACTCAGTCACCCATTACAGTAATAAAAGAACAGGACAGGCATGAGCTGTACACCTGTAATTATATCTGTAATCCTAGCTACTCAGGAGACTGAGATCTGAGGTTCGCAATCCAAAGCCAGCCTGGGCAGGTAGGTCTGTGAGATTCTTTTCTCTTGCTGAGGCTCAAGTGGTAGAGCGCTAGCCTTGAGCTGAAGAGCTCAGGGACAGTGCCCAGGCCCTTAGTTTAAGCTCCAGGACTGGCACGTGCATGTGCACATGTGCACGCACGCAGACACACACACACACACACACACACACACACACACACACACACACACACGAATAGGACAGTTAACTTTTTTATAAAGCACCCAGCAGTTTTGCTAGGCATTAGTACATGTTGATTTTCTTGATGGTAAGGACCAAAAAAGACATTATTACAATGTTAAATGAATAAACTGGACTTTAGGGACCAAAAAAAAATCTAAACAGTGTGAAACCTTACAGTGTGTTTGTGTCTTAACAACTAGAGGGATACAATTTTTTTTAATGCATTTTCTCCCGTAGGAATTTTTTTCTGCATATATTGGCCAATATCCATAAGATTATTATTGTTCTCTCATCTGTGATAGTCAAACTTTATGGCTGTACTTTAGTTATTTGCATTTAAATTACTTGGTAACACTATTTACAAAGGCATGATGTTGCTTTTGCAAGGGTCTGTATCTGTTCATGCAAATGTTAATTGTGTATTGACTATACTTGCTCCTTTTCAATTCCTGTCACTCCAGTAAAAGTAGAAACGGCTTTTTCTGTTTTCTTTTTCAGTACAAGGACTTGCACTCAGGGCCTCATGCTTGCTCAGCTTGCTTGCCTAGATTATGCTAACCACTTCAGCCATACTTCCAGTCCTGCTTTTTGCTGGTTATTTTGGAGATAGAGTCTAGTGGATTTCTCTGCCTGGCTGGCTTCAAACTGCAATCTTCCAGATCTCAGCCTACTAAATAGCTAACATTATGTGAAGCTACCAGTGCTTGGCTCTGAAATTGCTTAAACAAAATTTTTTTTGTGGGAACCTTAAACACTTCCTTTCTTCAGTCATCAGTCCATTTCATTCATGATATTTCTCTTGGCCCCAAGCCCCTTCCAGGTTTTTGGCCTTGTATGGAAATAGGTCAGCACTGGGTCTCAAGGAAGCCATGCCAGCACCTGTTTTTAGTGGTCTAAATGTCTTCTTTGTTTGCAGGCAATTGAAATTGAAGAACGGAAAATCCAGAGCTGCGTGCATTTCATGACTCTAAAGAAGCTTAACCGATTGGCCCACATCAGGTTGAAGAAAGGAAGAGATCAGACCCACGAGGTAAGAGTTGAGAGTTTAGCCCTCATTCTCTCTACTCTTCCCCACCCCTTCTTTGACCCCCGATGCTCTTTTTGTGGCTTTGCTGGCCTTGCTCACCATCTCCAACCTTATCTTCCCTTTCAGGCTAAGCAGAAGGTAGATGCCTACCACCTGCAGCTACAGAACTTGCTGTACGAGGTGATGCACCTACAGAAGGAGATCACCAAATGTTTGGAGTTCAAGTGAGTTTGAGAGGACAGGGCTTTGGCACAGCTGGTTTGTGGAAACTGCTTAGTGAGAGCCGGTCTCTTTCAAAGAAATCTAGTGAGCTTGGAAGACTGGGATCCAGGAGGAGGGTCAGTAGATCACTTTGAGTGGGAGAATTACAATTAGTAGTTTCAGGCTGCTCAGAGAGCCACAGAAGTCTCTCTGGCCCTTTAGTGTTTTGAACTCTGAACTTGGTAAAAAGCAGTTCTCAATCCTCAGCAGGGGCCTCTGTGTTACCAGTTTGATTCCTACTCACTAAATATGGGAGCTGCTTACTTTCGGTCCGTCTGTCTGTGGTCGTTATCGTGTCGTCGTTTCTCTCCCCCTCCCCCCTCCTACTTCCTTTCCTTTCCTTACCTTTCTTTTCCTTTTTGTGTTTTTCTGTTTGTTTGTTTGTTTTTAATTGGTGTGGGGCTTAAAATCAGGGCCTGGGTGCTCTTCCTAGGCTTTCTTGCTCAAGGCTAGCACTCTACCACTTTGAGCCACAATGTCACTTCTGGTTTTCTGGTGGTTATTGGAGATAAGAGTCTCATAGACTTTCTTGCCTGGGCTGGCTTTGAACCCTGATCCTCAGATCTCAGAGTAGCTACAATTATAGTTTTTTCACATCTAGTTCTCTTAAGCTTATATAGGTGAAAGTTTTCAACTTTGATAGAGCTCTTTTTTTTTCTTTTTCTTTTAATCATACAGGGGTTTGAACTCAGGACCTCACATTTAATGGGCAGGCATTCTACCACTTGAGCCTGGTGCAGGCTCTTACATTTACTCCTGTTCAGTGACATATCGTGGTTTCAACTTGACAGTTTAGACCTAGGCTGTAGGGCTTTTTTGTCAGTTGCTGAGCTTGAACTCAGGGTCTGGGTGCTGTACCTGAGCTCTTTTGCTCAAGGCTAGTACTCTACCACTTGAGCCACAGTACCACTTCTAGCTTTTTCTGAGTAGTTTATTGGAGCTAAGAGTCTCATGGACTTTTCTGCCCAGGCTGGCTTTAAACTGCAATCCTCAGATCTCAGCCTCCTGAGTAGCTAGGATTATAGGCATGAGCCACCAGTACCCGACTAGTTCTAGTCTTTTATTTGTATATTGTAGCTGTTGATGCCCAGGTTTGGCTGAGAGACATTTGTAAGTTTAGTAAGCATCCTTCCCAGTCTTGAGCTAATTTATGGATTTGAAAGGTTGGAGATCACAGACAGGAATCTATCTGTGGCACATTGCTGACAGCTGCTCATCACACAGGATCATCTGCCCATGGACACAGCTGAGATTGGATTTGGGGGTTTTGAGAAGTTGTAGGCCAAGACTGAGTGGACAGAGATGAGCAACTGTATAACTGTGTGAGCCAGATTGGAGAGCAGCAGCTTGACGTCCAATTTTTACTAGGTCTAAGCATGAAGAAATCGATCTGGTTACTTTAGAGGAATTTTATGAAGAGGCTCCACCAGACATCAGCAAGGTTGAAGTCACCACAGGAGACCCTCACCAGCAGACCCTGGCACGTCTGGACTGGGAGTTGGAGCAGCGGAAAAGGTAGTGCTTCCTCCTTCATGACCTCATTCACTATACAATGGCAGCCTCACATGACCCTGACCAGGGCAGATACTTGATCACGGACCCAGCAGAATAGTCTATAAGACGAGTCCTGTTTCTGATTAGTTCACACTGCATAGTTTACTTTACTAACCTTTGTCATTGCTTAAAGCTATTTTTAAAAGTTGGAGTAATTTTTATGTGTGTGTGCCTTTTCTAGAGCTTGAACTCAGGGCCAGGGTATTCTCTCTTAGATTTTTTCAATCAAGACTGGCACTCTACTGCTTGAGGCACAACTCCACTTCTGGCTTTTTTTTTTTTGTCGGTCATGGGGCTTAAACTCTGGGCCTGGTCACTGTCCCTCAGCTCTTCAGCTCAAGAAGAGTGCTCTACCTCTTGAGCTACAGTGCCACTTCCGGTTTTCTAGTGGTTTATTGGAGATAAGAGTCTCACAGATTTTCCTGCCCGGGCTGGCTTTGAACCATGATTCTCAGATCTCAGCCTCCTGAGTAGCTAGGATTACAGGCATGAGCCACCGGTGCCCGGCTGCTTCTGGCTTTTTGATGGTTAGTTGGAGATTAGAGTCTCATGAACTTTCCTGCCAGAGCTGACTTTGAACCATACCCTTCAGATTTCAGCCTTCTGAGTAGCTAGGATTATAGGTATAAACTACCAGTACCAGGCATTATTCTTTTTTCTGTTACTGAAAATATCTGTGCCTCTGGCCCATGTTGCTTTAGTGATCATTGAGTCTGTTTCTTAGGACTCTATGCTCGTGTTTCTGAGAGTGGGGCTAGTCTGTCATTCCCCATCTGGTGGACTGTTTGAGTTGCACTCAGGCAGAGCCGTGAGTGCTGCATTCCTATGGTACAGATCTAGAATCCATTCCTGTCTTCTCCACTCCAGTAGTCTGTGGGCCTCTTTTGGGTTAAGGAGCTGTCTCTCAGGCAAGGAATGGAGCAGAAGATGATACAGCACTGTTCTCTAGTGGGCATGTACACAGAGAAATGGGCATGCATTCATAACTCTGTATGGCCTTGGGCAGGTCACATATCTTTGAGCCTTAGTTTTCTTCTCCAGGGATAAGGAAAGTCCCTGTCTTCCAGAGTTTTATAATTACTGTGTTAATGCTTACATTAAGCTCTTTAAAGGGTCATATAAGTACTGGCAGGCATTAGAATTAATCATAATTGAACTGTAAGATGAGTCTGACAGTGAGCAGGTATGTTGAGGTGATGCATGAGTGACTATGCTCTGTCTGCCCCTTCAGGCTGGCAGAGAAGTACCGAGAGTGCCTGTCCAGCAAAGAGAAGATCCTGAAAGAGATAGAGGTGAAGAAGGAGTACCTGAGCAGCCTCCAGCCTCGCCTCAATAGCATCATGCAGGTAGGTAGATGAGCTCAGCCTGTCGGCCCTTTGCTTTGCCTCTGCCAACCAGAGGTGGCTGAAGCCACATCCCTTAGGCCTTGCTGATCAGAGTACTACAAGCTGCCATTGTGAAATTGTGTTCTAGGGTAAAGAGAGAATGACTAGACAGGTGTCAGTGGCTCGCACTTGTAATCCTAGCTACCTGGGAGGCTGAGATTTGAGAATTAAGATTTGGAGTCAACTCAGGCAGACAAATCCAAGGAACTTATCTCCAGAAAGTTGGAACTGGAGCATGGCTCAAGTGTTAGAGCACTAACAACCATGAACTGACAGAGTAGAATAAAAATGTAAGGCCCTGACTTCAAACTCCAGTACTGGCACAAAAAAGTGTTGGCCAGATGGGCTTAGGAGCACAGACACACATGCCCCTATGCACTTTGCTTTTAAAAATCCAAAGCCTCCTCTGCATAAAATAGTTTCTCGGATTGGAAAGGTTCCGTTTTCCCCGCATGGTTCGCACCCATCACCTACACATGCTTCCTGTGGATGTTTCCTAGGTCCTCCAAACCTTAGGGGCCAGACAGCTCAGCAGATTAAATTCCAAAAAGAACTTGACTCATTTGAGAGCCTCTGTAGGAAAAGCTCTAACTTTACCCATAAATTGGAATGTATACTGGTCACCTGATTTTTTTTCCTTTCCAAAGCCAGATTTGGGTTAAATCATTACAGTTTTATAAAGCAAAGTACGAGGAACCTTGAAAAAGGAGCCTGGAGAAATTCTAAACTCATTTTTATAGGAGTTGGCAAGGTCTCACTTTCTCCTTTTGACTCTAAGCATAGAATTAATTGTTGTTAAAAGTAATCTTTTGGGGGCTGGGAAGGTGGCTCAGTGGTAGAGCACTTGCCTTGCTGCTCAAGGCCCTGGGTTCGATTCCTCAGCACCACATAAGAAAAAAGCCGGAAGTGGCGCTGTGGCTCAAGTGGTAGAGTGCTAGCCTTGAGCTGAAGAGCTGAGGGACAGCACCCAGGCCCAGAGTTCAGGCCCCACGACCAGACCCCCCCCCCCCCCCCAAAAAAAAAGTAATCTTTTGTGTCTGATGCCAGTTACTCATGTCTGTAATCCTAGCTACTCTGGAGGATCTGAGGATTGCAGTTTGAAGCCAGGCAGTGAGACTATCTGTAAGACTTATCTCCAGTTAACCACCATAAAAGCCAGAAATAGAGTGGTAGCTCAAGCCTTGAGTAAAAAAGCTCAAGGAGGCTCAGTGGTAGAGTGCTTGCTTTGCATGCATGAGGCCCTGGGTTTGATTCCTCAGCACCACATAAGCAAAAAAAAAAAGCTGGAAGTGGCGCTGTGGCTCAGGTGGTAGAGTGCTAGCCTTGAGCTGAAGAGCTGAGGGACAGCGCCCAGGCCCAGAGTTCAGGCCCCACGACCAGACACCCCCCCGCCAAAAAAGCTCAAGAACAGTGCCGAGACCCTGTGTTTAAGCCCCATTAGTGGTATACACAAAAACTTCTGTGATATTTCATAATGAAAGAAAAAGAGGAATGCAAGCTAGCAATTTTTTTTTTTTTTTGGTGGGTCGTGGGGCTTGAACTCTGGGCCTGGGCGCTGTCCCTCAGCTCTTCAGCTCAAGGCTAGTGCTCTACCGCTTGAGCCACAAAGCCACTTCTAGTTTTCTAGTAGTTTATTGGAGATAAGAGTCTCACGGACTTTCCTGCCCCAGCTGGCTTTGAACCTCAATCCTCAGATCTCAGCCTCTTAAGTAGCTAGGATTACAGGTGTGAGCCACCAGCGCCCAGCTGTACTTAACATTCTTAAGTCCTCTACATGGTTAAATTCTCTACTGTTAACTAGAACTCTGTAAATATGCCTAAATAGAATATAGATTTTTGTATAGTGCAGCTTTACAGCGATTCATGTATGAAGTAGCATACCGCTAATAGAATGCTGGCCAGAAAAAAGTCTATTGCAGTATTAAATTTAAAATGCAAGTTGTAGAACATATAGCATGAGGGGCTGGGAAGTTAGCTCAGTGGCAGAGTGCTTGTCTCTCATGCATGAGGCCCTGGATTTGATTCCTCAGCATAACATAAGCAGAAAAAAGTCAGAAGTGGCATTGTGGCTTTAATGGTAGAGCGCTAGCCTTGAGCTGAAGAGCTGAGGGATGGCGTCCAGACTCAGAGTTCAGCTCCCACAACTGATCAAAAAAACAACAACAAAAAAAAACAAAAAAAGACCATATAGCATGATCTCATTTATATAATGTAGTCTGTAAAATATGTGTATCAGTATATGTGTGTATTTAGCTATATATAGCAAATCATTAACAATTATCTTTGAGTGCTGTAAGCTGGTAGGTTTAGCCTTATAAATGCGAGTACAACTCTGATACAGAATACATATATGACTTTAAAATAGACAGAATTGGGAGTGCATGCCTGTAGTTTCAGCTATAGGAAGCCAAAGTAGGGAGGAATGTCTTTCTTTTTTTTGGGGGGCGGGGGGGGTCCGCTCGTGGGGCCTGAACTCTGGGCGTGGGTGTTGTCCCTCAGCTCTTCAGCTCAAGGCTAGCGCTCTACCACTTGAGCCACAGCGCCACTTCTGGCTTTTTTCTTTTTGCTTATGTGGTGCTGAGGAATCGAACCCAGGGCCCCATGCATGCAAGGCAAGCACTCTACCACTGAGCCACCTTCCCAGCCCCGGGAGGAATTTCTTAAGCCAGGGTTTCCAGAGCAGCCTGGACAACATAGCAAGAGCCCCATTTGAATGAATGAACAAATGAATTTGAACCAAGAGACAAACATGGCTAAGTGTGCAACTCAATGGTAGAGTGTATGCTTAGCATGAATTAGGCACCAAAATTAATAATAATTTTACATACAGAAGAGTCTACATCTGGGGCTGGGAAGATGGCTCAGTGGTAGAGTACTTGCCTTGCATGCATGAGGATCTGGGTTCGATTCCTCAGCACCACATAAGCAAAAAGAAAAAAGCCGGAAGTGGTGCTGCGGCTCAAGTGGTAGAGCGCTAGCCTTGAACTGAATAGCTGAGGGACAGCGCCCAGGCCCAGAGTTCAGGCCCCACGACCAGACCCCGCCCCCCCCCCCCAAAAAAAGTCTATATCTCATAAGTATATAGGTGAATTCTATGAGTAACCACACTTGCGTAACCACACAAGAGAAAGAACATTGCCCGCCAGGCACTGGTAGTTCACACCTGTAATCCTAGCTCTTCAGGAGTCTGAGATCAAAGCTAGCCTGGGCAGGAAAGGCTATGAGAGTCGTCTTTTTATCTCCAATTAACCACCAGAAAAGCGGAAGTGGTACTGTGGCTCGAAGTGGTAGAACACTGGCCTTGAGCAAAAAGAGTTCAGGCACAGTGCCCAGGCCCTGAGTTCAAGCCCCACAACCAACAAAAGGAAGGAAGGAAGGAAAGAAAGAAGGAAAAAACATCGTCCTTTTTTTTGGCCAGTAAAAAGAGTTCAGGGACAGTGCCTGGGCCCTGAGTTCAAGCCCCACAACTGATGAAAGGAAAGAAGGAAGGAAGGTTGCCTTTTTTTTTTCCAGTTCTGGGGCTTGAACTCAGGGCCTGAGCACTGTTCAAGCCCCATAACTGATGAAAGACGGAGAGAGAGAGAGAGAGAGAGAGAGAGAGAGAACGAAAGGAACATTGCTTTTTTTTTTTTTGGCCAGGCCTGGGGCTTGAACTCAGGGCCTGAGCACTGTCCCTGAGCTGCTTTTTGCTCAAGTCTAGCACTCTACCATTTGAGCTACAGTGCCACTTCTGGCTTTTCCTGTTTATGTGGTGCTGAGGAATCGAACTCAGTTCTTCTTGCTTGCTTAGCACTACCACTAAACCACATACCTAGCCCCCATTCCCAGTTTTTCTAGAAAAAATTTCTACTCCTGTGTACTATCTCCCCAATCCCTCAGTAACCATTATCTTAGCTCTGAATCTTAGGTTACTTTTTTTTTTGGTCAGTCATGGGGCCTAGGCGCTGTCCCTCAGCTCTTCAGCTCAAGGCTAGCATTCTACCACTTCCACAGCTCCACTTCCAGCTTTTTCTGCTTATGTGGTACTGAGGAATAAAACCCAGGCCTCATGCATGTAAGGCAAGCACTCTACCACTGAACCACCTTCCCAGCCCAGTTTTGTCTGTTTTGAACAGACAAAATCCTATCTATTTAAAAGAAACTTACCTACTCTTTTGTGTCTGGCTTTTGCAACTTGGTACACTTGTGGAATTTACCTGTACTACTGTGAGACCTAGTTCATCATTTCCCTTGATTTCAGTTGTTTCCAGTTTGGAGCTCTTACGAGCAATAGTGCTGTGAGCATTCCCCCACATTCTCTTGTATACACCAGGTCAGGGTAAAGCTGTGGCATACAGAGTATGCCAATATAGAAATTCCCAAAGGATCTTAGGAAAGGTCTTTGTTCTACATCCTTGCCAGTGCTTGCCATTGCTTCCTATAATTGTAGTTCTTCTGGGACATATTTCATTCTGCTTGTCATTTTGTAATTTTCATTTCCCTGAACACTAATGATGTTGAGCATACCTTTTTTTTTTTTTTCTCACTTGTGCTGGGGATAGAACCTAGGGTATTATGCATGCTAGGCAAATGTTCTACCACTGAGCCACAACCCAGTCCCTTAATGTTTTCTTAATAGTATTAGAAATATGGCATCTTTTTATAATTTCATATTATTATTATTATTATTATTATTTTGGTTGGTCATAGGACTTAAACTCAGGACCTGGGTGCTGTCTCTGAGTTGTGTTGCTCAAGGCTAGCACTCTGCCATTTTGAGCCACACTTCCACTTCATTTTTGGTGGTTACTTGGAGATAAGAGTCCAGAGCCAGGCACTGGAGGCTCATACCTACAATCCTATCTACTCAGGAGGCTGATATCTGAGGATCTTGGTTCCAAGCCAGCTCAAACAGGAAAGTCTGTAAGACTAAACCAGAAGTGGCACTGTGTCTCAGAGTAGTAGATCACTAGCCTTGAGTTGAAGAGCTCGGGAACAGTGCCCATGCCCAGTGTTCAAGCTCTAAGACCGACAAAAAAAATAGAGTCTCATAGACTTTCCTGCCCATGCTGGAATTACTCAGCCTCCTGAATAGTTAAGATTGAAGACAAGAGCCCCCAGCACCTTGCTTCATATTTTTATTCTTTGTTGCTAGTAAGTAGAAGAAATACAGTTTTTTTTTTTGGTTTTTGTTTTTTTTTTTTAATTTCTTGAGACAGGGTCTCACTATACAGCCCAAGCTGGATTTGAACTTGAGATCCTCCTGCCTCACCTCCAAAATATTTGTATGACAAACATGACTCACCTGTCTAACTACAATTTTTCTATTGATCATTTGTCTACTGATATATTCTATTAGTTTATCATGTATCCCTTTTTTGTAAATAAAACTGTATATAGTTACAAAGCAGCCACATGTTCCTTTGTAACTGGACTAAAAAAATCCTTTTATTGCCCATAGGCTTCCCTCCCGGTGCAGGAGTATCTATTTATGCCTTTTGACCAAGCTCACAAGCAGTATGAGACTGCCAGGCACCTGCCGCCACCCCTCTATGTGCTCTTTGTCCAGGCCACTGCATATGGGCAGGCCTGTGGTGAGTATGGACCTGGACATGGTGGGGGGGCTGTGGGAGCAGCAGTCATGGCCACTAGCCTAGTGGAAGCTCTGCTTGCCCCAGAAGATTTCCCAGGCCCTGCCCAGAAGCCTGCTGGAGACAGGTGTTGCCTCCCCCTCTGCTACACCCTGCATGACTGCTTCCTCCTGGCTTGCCTAAGTCTAGACTAACCTGATAGCCATTTCAGTATGGACAGCTTTGAATTCTTTATGAGCCTGTCCAGGCTCCTGGGTACTCACTTATGTAGATTGGTATCTGTCTGCTGTTCTGCTGTGGGGCATGTCTGCTGTAGTGAGGGGCAGGGAGCATAGGTCCCAGCCAGATCTCTAAGCCTTTAAGGACATATTTCAGGACATGAAACAGGTCTTATTTTGTAAGAAGCTGTGTCCTCAGGCTTAAGGCCACAGCCTGGGACTCTGCTAAGGGTTGGACAAAGCTTTTGCTCTTGTCCTAATGCAGCTTTCCCTGGCTGCTAGACTTTTCTTCCTCCCTCCCTTCTACCCATCGCATCAGAGTGACATAGATTGCACCAGCGTATGCCCCTCCTCCCAGCCATGGCACCAATACATTACTATCTCTCTTCTTGTATTTTCCTGGCCTGTCTCGTCGTCTCCCACTCCTTTGTTCTCCCTTCTGTTTCCATCATCAGCTCATATGAAATCCTCCTCCCAGCCCCATAGACAGGGTGAGTAATTTTCTTTTTTGTGTGTCTGCTTAAAATTCAGCTGTTTCCCCTTCCATTTTCCTGTAGAATTCAAGATTAAATAACAGAAAGGAATGCTTTAGGGCTAGAAATGGGGCTTAGGGCTGGAGCACTTGCCTGGAAAGCTCAAGACCCTAGCTTCAATCCCCAACTGCAAAGAGGTAGTATCGATGGTTTCTGTATGGTTGGTGGACATAAGGCAGTGGTCTGCTATTGCCCTCTCTTCTTAGTGCAGCTGGGCAAGTAGGGTCAGGCTTCTGTGGCTCTTTGTACCCTTGAGAATTAAGTAGGGGCTTGGGGTATAGTTCAGGCCCTGGATTTGGTCTTTAGCACCACAATTTTTAAAAGATGAATGAAAAGAAATGCAGAACCTGGATGCCTACTAGATCCCACAGTCCTGGACCCTGAGTTCCACAAAGGGGAATCAGTGAGAGTCAGTCCAAAAAGGCAGGCCAGGTCCATGGAACAGGCTGTTAGTTAACCTGTGCTAGAGAGTCCAAGCTCATCTTGAACAGATGTGATCTTGATTCCTGGTTTATCTGTTTTCTGGCTATGGTTTTTAGTTTCTATGAGCCTTAAGTTTCTTATCTCTAATGACTATAATGATAGTATCAACTGTATAAGGTTGTTTGTAAGTTTCAAGTCACTTTTTTTTTGGTCCTTCTTGGGGCTTGAACTCAGGTCCAGGGCACTGGCCCTGAACCTCTTTGTGCTCAAGGATAGTGCCCTACCACTTGAACCATGGCACAACTTCTAGCTTTTTTGAGTATTTATTGGAGATGAAAGTCTCATGGGGGCTTTTCTGCTTGGTTTGTCTTCAAACCACAATCCTCAGATCTCAACCTCCTAAGTAACTAGGATAACCACCATGAACCACCAGCACCTGGCTTCAAGCCACTTCTTTCTGTCTACCTATCTACTATCTATCTTACTTAGTACCTACCTTTGTATCTACCTACCTACCTACTTACATACATACATACATACCTATCTATGCCAGAGATTAAACCCCAGGCCTCAAGCATGTAAGCTTATGTTCTACCTCTGAACAACATTCCTAGCCCCCAAAACTAATTTTTTTTTTCTTTTAGTCTGTCATGACGCTTGAACTCTGGGCTTGGGCACTGTCCCTCAGCACTTCAGCTCAAGGCAAGCACTCTACCAATTGAGCCACAGAACCACAGTTTTCTAGTGGTCAACTGGAGATAAATATCTCATGGACTTTCTTTGCCTGGGCTGGCTTTGAACCACGATCCTCAGATCTCAGCCTCCTGAGTAGCTAGGATTACAGGCGTGAGCCACCAGTGCCCAGCAAAACTAATTTTTTTAAATAGCTATGATTAAAATTGCAAACATCAGTACCACCAGTCCCCACCACTCAGCATGGCAGCAATTTGCTGATTCCCATGTCATGGATGTGGTGACTGAAGCTAGAGTAGTAACCTCACTTTCTAGGTCATACTTCAGTAGGTAGGGCCTCAGGTCTTAGACTGGACTTCAATGTCCATGCTCCTACCTATAGTCCTTTGCCATTTAGTTAAATGAGATGGTGCTAGCCAGGAGCTTGGTGTGATGTAGAACAGAGAATAGGCACCTAGGTGAGAACTGTCATCTCCAGGTATGGACAGATGTGGGCTTCTGGGTATGAACTTCTAAGAAGCTGTCCAAAGAATTCTGTAGGCCTGTGGGCCCAGGACTTGACTTTCTGTGATGTGTGCCTGAAAAGAGAGACATTCAGTACTGGGCACTGGTGTCTCAATGCCTGTAATCCCAGCTATTCAGGAAGCTGAGATCTGAGGATTGAAGTTTGAAGTCCACTTAGGCAGAAAAATGCCCAGGCAGAAAAATTCCCAAGACTCTTATCTCCAGTTAACTAGCAAAAAGCCAGAAATAGAGTTATGGGTAAACTAGTAAACCACCAGCTTTGAGCAAAAAATGCAAATGAGAGTGTAAAGCCCTGAGTTCAAGCCTCAGTACTGACACAGAGAAAGAAAAAGGGAGGGGGGGAGGGAGGGAGAGGGAGAGAACGAGAACATATTGGTCTCTGGGATGCAGGGATGCCTCTCTGGGAATCTGTGCTTTGGCTGTTTTTTCTCAGAAAATGATGGCAAAGAATTAAGCTTCCTACCAAGAGTTGGGGCAGAAGCAGAAGAAACTCAGCCCCTAGCTTGCTTTCCTGCATCTCTTAGCCCCTCCTCCACATTTTTTATTGTCCCTAGATAAGACCTTGTCTGTGGCAATTGAAGGCAGTGTGGATGAAGCCAAGGCTCTATTCAAGTCCTCTGAGGACTCCCAAGGTAACATGGCGGTTGGGTTATCTCCCCAGGACCACCAGGTCACCACCAATGAGCTCCTTAGCTCATTAACTAGACTGCTTCAGTAGACCAGGAAGCCTGACAATCAGGTCAGTGTTTGGAACAGACAGGAGAAAGCTTAGATCCTGAAGTCAGAAAGTGCTTCCTTTGGATTGTAGTCCTGCCACCCACAGCTCACTGTAAGAAAGTGGATGGTAATTCTTTGTGTAGATAGCAACCCCTCTGGTTATACAAGTGGATATTATTGTTGTTATTTCTATTACTGTGCTCACTGCACCAGCAATGGAGGAGTTTGTTGCCCATAGAAATGAGATCAGAGCCAGATGCTAGTGACTCCACCTGTAATCCTAGCTACCCAGGAGGCTGAGATCTAAGGATTGTGGTTTGAAGCCAACCCAGGTAAGAAAGTCCATGAGACTCTTATCTCCAATTAACCACCAGAAAACCGGAAGCAGAGCTGTGGCTCAAGTGATAGCGTGCTAGCCTTGAGCAAAGAAAGCTAAGAGAAGAAAGGAAGAAGGGAAAGAAGGAAGGAAATCAAATATATATTTAAAAAACCAACAGTGGTAGAATTAGCGGTCACTTTATTCAATACCATGTTTTCACTCAGTAAGTATCATGAAAGTAAGTGATTTATTATAAAGACTACAAGTAAAAGCAGGCTAGGCTTCTCTGTCCCTGTGGGCATGGGGCTTCAGGAGCATGTGGAGCCCTCCCTCTCTCTCTCCCTCTAACCACCTTCTCTGTGGCTACAGATGATGAGAGTGACTCAGATGCTGAGGAGGAACAGACCACGGTGAGCACTATTCCAGTGGGGGGCACCGTGCAGCTGTGCCAGGGCCTGCACACCTGCAGGTGCCAATTCCCTAGAAGTGGAAGAGAGGGCTGCAGCAAGGGGAGCCTGACCGCCTGAGTAGCTGAGGCAGCCAGTGCCAGGCAGCAGTGGGGAGGCCCTGGCCTGAGGGAGCAGGAAGGGGAATGTTCATCTAATAGGCCTGGCCCTCTCCTTTCCCAGAAACGGCGGCGACCCACACTGGGGGTTCAGCTGGATGACAAGCGCAAGGAGATGCTGAAGAGACACCCGCTGTCTGTCGTGCTTGACCTAAAGTGCAAAGGTCTGTCTGCGCTCCCTCCTATGAGCATCTGGGAGTTTGGACAGCTGTGGGTACAGCGGGCCTTGCAAGCCAGAGGCATCTTTGCACCCCAGATTGTCTTGGTCTCCTAGTTCTCTAGTTTTTCTTCTTTGTTTAATAAAAAAGGTTTGATTTTTTTTTTGCGGGGGGGGGTCGGTCGTGGGGCTTGAACTCTGGGCCTGGGCGCTGTCCCTCAGCTCTTCAGCTCAAGGCTAGCGCTCTACCACTTGAGCTACAGCACCACTTCCAGTTTTCTGGTGGTTTATTGGAGATAAGAGTCTTACCGACTTTCCTGCCCAGGCTGGCTTTGAACCACGGTCCTCAGATTTCAGCCTCCTGAGTAGCTAGGATTATAGGTGTGAGCCACTGGCACCCGGCTTTGATTTATTTTTTTAAGCCATAATAACCCTAACAACAAAGCAGCAAAAATCCATATACATAAAGGGAAGTGTAATAAAAGTACACTTCTTTCTGAATTTGCTATATCAAATCCACAAACTAAGTTATATGAGTGTGTAGGTTTTGAGCAACTTCTTTAATAAATGAGTTTAGAACTCTATTCTGCAGGGTCTTGTGTGGAAAAAGTAGCATATGCTCTTGTACAAGAGTTAACAGTGAAATTTCAACTTCCCTGTTATCAGGTTCTTGGATCCAGTCCTTGGTTTTCCTCCAAGGACAACCATTGTTACAGATTTCTAATGTAGTTTCTGAAACTACTCTTTGCATCTAGAAGCTTTTATTCAAGTGTCTATTTTTCTCCTTCCTTTTAATGGAAATATGCTGTACCCTCTGGTCCCTGTTTTTTTCATCTTAAATTTTTTATCTTGAGGTAATTTTAGACTCACAGAAGTTTAGAACTCAACAGTTCTAAAGATAGTAAAGAGTGTTCTCATATATTCTTTTTTCTTTTGTTCCTTTTGTGTGTGTGTGTGGAGCTGAGAATCAAATCCCAGGCCTTACACATGGTAGGCAAGATGTCTACCCTTCTGTTACATCCAGAATCCCCTATTTCTCCTTGTCCACCTCTTCCTCCTCTTCCTCCTCCTCCTCCTCTTCCTCCTTCTCTTCCTCCTTCTCTTCCTCCTCTTCTTCCTTTTCCTCCTCCTCCTTTTTGTGCTGGTTTTGAGGCTTGAACTGAGGACTTGGGCACTGTCCCTGAGCTTCTTCTAATCAAGGCTAGTGCTCTACCACTTGAGCCACAGCTCCACTTCTGGATTATTTGGTAATTTATTGGAGACAAGAGTCTCATGGACTCAACCCTGCCTGGGCTGGTTTCAAACCTGGATCCTCAGATCTCAGCCTCCTGAGTAGCTAGGATTACAGGTGTGAGGAGCATCAGGCAAGTCCTTCTATTTCCTCATCCAGCTTCCTCATGTTAATTTCACTGGCTCAAATTTATTACCTAAACTACAGTATTATTCAGAGTTCCCCCATTCTTCTAATGTCTTTTCCTCCTCCTCCTCCTTTTCCCTTTCCTCCCTCACCCCCTTCCCCCCATTCTCCTTTCTTGGTGCCAGTCCTGAGGTTTGAACTCAGGTCCTAGGTGCTATCATTGAGCTCTTTTTTGCTCAAGTCTAGCACTGTACTACTTGAACCTCAGCTCCACTTCCAGCTTTTTAGTGATTAATTGGAGATAAGAATCTCACAAACTTCCCTGCTGGGACTGGCCTAGAACCATGATCCTCAGATCTCAGCCTCCTGAGCAGCTAGCGTTACAGACATGAGCCACCATATCATGCAAGGAAAAGTAGCAAAGACTTTGCAGATGCTTCTTTTTTTCTTCTTCAGTGTTACTGCTGTTGCATTTTTGTATAGTACAAGACATAAAGGCAACTTTGAGTTTCATTTCTTTAGTAGTACTGACTTCCAAGATAGGAGTGGCTCACAAGTGACAATTTTCCTCCTTCCTCTCCAGATGACAGCGTGCTCCACCTGACCTTCTACTATCTTATGAACCTCAACATTGTGACAGTGAAAGCCAAAGTGACAACTGCCACAGAGCTGATCACGCCCATCAGTGCAGGGTATGGGGCAGTTTGGGACATGGGAGGGGCACAGTGGGAGGCTGGGGCTGTTCTGTTCTGCCCTTGTCCTCCCAGCCTTGGAGTCTCAGCACATCCCTGGGATTTTGAAAGCCCCCTCTCACTTACACTTGTAAAGCTTTCTTACTATACAACAGATGACAGAGTAAAAACAGTGGGTTGTCAGATTGAGTGGGTAGGGCACAGCCACCAGATTCCAAAACCACTGGAAAGCTTGTGAATGCAGAGAGGAGACTTGGCAGATAGGACTAAGTTGACAAATTTAGGCCACTCTTGTCTTTTTCTATTCCTAGGTGCTAGTAATGAGTAGTGGTAGGAGGACTGTTGGGCAAACTCTGTGGGGGTGGGGGGGGAGGGTTGTTGGTCTGTTGGTTTGTTTTTGTGGAGATTGCACCAGGACCTCCAGTGCAAGACAAGTACTCTACAACTCGAGACCTGCCCTTACCCTTTTGTTCCTTACTTTGTTTTTGAGATAGGCTCTCACGACTGGCCTCAAACTTCATGCCTCTATTTCTTGAGTAGCTGAGGTTATAGGCATGTGCCACCGTACCTGGCTTGGAGGTTTTGAGGAAGATAAACATCAGTATAGTAATGATAGTCACAGTCTCTCCCAGAAGGCCCTGAGCAGAGCCGTAATTGTTCTGAAACCAGGTGTAGGAGGAAGCAAGAATAGACAGGGAGTGGGGGTGAACTAACCTCCTCTTAATCGAGTCCCACCCCTCCCCAGGTGTCTGTTGGACTAGTGTTCTTCTTACTCCTTCCCATTCTGCCTGATGGGAAGGTGTCTTCTGGTCTTAGACCCTGCATTTCAGGTCCACTGCCCCTTGAAGCGTCTACAGCCTGTGCCTGGGAGCTAACCACTACCCAATGGCATGCTGGATGAAATTGACTGTGTTCCCAGCAGAGGGAGCCCAGGGCTTCTGAGTAGCCCATACACTGCTCAGCTAGAGCTTTCTGTTTGTGTTGGGTAAGGTTAGAGCATGTTGTCCTGATTCTTTTGCTGCTCATTGCTCAAGTGCCCAACTGGTTGGTCTGTATAAGGGCTGCTGGCCGGCTTTGTGACAACTGCTCACATGCACTGTAATCACCTCTCCCAGAACACTTGTGAAGAGGCAAGCTTAGCATAGAAGAGGTAAGTGACAGTTGGTTTATCATCGGCCATGTTTGTTTGGTTTTTTTGCCAGTCCTGGGGCTTGAATTCAGAGTCTGCACACTATCCCTGAGCTTGTTTTTGCTCAAGGATAGCATCTACCACTTAAGCCACAGTGCCACTTCTGGCTTTTTCTGTTTATGTGTTTGGAGGAATTGAACCCAGCTCTTCATGTATGCTAGGCAAGCACTCTACCACTAAGCCACTTTCCCAGCCCTTGTGCTTTATTTTATTTATTTATTTTATTTTTGGCACTGGGAATGAAGCCCAGGACCTTGTGTATGCTAGGCAGGGGCTCTACCACTCTTTGCCTTTCAATGTAATTTTTTTTTCCCAACCCGGGGGACTTGAACTCAGGGTTAGGGCCCTGCCCCTGAGCTGCTTTTGCTCAAAGCTAGCACTCTACCACTTGAGCCACATCTCCACATCTAGGATTTTGGTATTTTGTTGTAGGTAAAGAGTCTTATAGACTTTCTTGCCCATGCTGTTTTCAAACCACAATCCTCAGATCTGTCTCCAGAGTGGCCAGTGCCCAACCTATTTTATTTTGGTTAATTCAGTAGGCAAAGACACTGAATAAAAAGCTGGTAATCTGTGTTTTCGCTGCCTCTCCAGTTGGTGAGAGGCAGTGAAGTGGGCAGAGCCCCGTGGGTTCAAGGGGTCTCAGTGAGACAGAGCAGGGAGAAGCCACAGCTGCTTTTGTCCTGTGTCAAGTTCCTGAAGGCATGCTGAGACGAGAGTGCTCTGTGACTTAGAGCACTAACTCCTACCCCATCTCATCTCTGTCACATTTAATCGTAAGCTATGTAATTGCCATCCTAGATGGCTCTAATGGCCATCCTCTATATCTTCTCATAGCCCTGGGCCACCTTGTCTCCAGTGCATGTGATAATATCTCTTTCTGAGCATTTGAAGAGGGCCTTTTTGTTATCAGGAGATGTAGTCAAAGTAAGATAGAGCACCAAAGCTTCCCCCATGTTCTCTCTGGATGGAAGGAGGCTGGGGGAAGGAAAGGCAGTGGGGAATGGGTAACAGGTACCAAAATACAAAGGAGGAATCAGAACTGATGTTCTAGGGCACAGGAGGATGACTGAGATTCACAACAGTTTATTACATTTTATGTATAGAACCATAGGAGTCCACAGTTTCCCCATACAAAGAAATGAGAAATGTTTAAGGAGATAGAAATGCGCAGTACATGGGCTGGGAATGTGGCTCAGTGGTAGAGTGCTTGGCCTAGCATGCATGAAGCCGTGGGTTCTATTCCTCAGTACCATATAAACACAAAAAGCTGGAAGTGGTGCTGTGGCTCAAGTGGTAGCCTTGAAGAAGAGAAGCTCAGGGACAGTGCCCAGGCTCTGAGTTCAAGCCCTAGGACTGGCCAAAAAAAAAAGCTCAGTACAGGGCTGGGAAGGTGGCTCAACGGTAGAGTGCTTGCCTTGCATGCATGAAGCCCTGGGTTCGATTCCTCAGCACCACATAAACAGAAAAAAAAAGCTGGAAGTGGTGCTGTGGCACAAGTGGTAGAGCGCTATCCTTGAGCTGAAGAGCTGAGGGACAGCGCCCAGGCCCAGAGGTCAAGCACCATGACCAAAAAAAAAAAAAATGCTCAGCATAGTACCTGGTTAGATTAGTTATTTCTGGCACTGTTTCTATTTGCTTATGTCATGACACTTTTCTCCTACAAAGTAACCCATGGGTTTTTGGGAGCTGGTGAAACTAAGGGGTTTTGGGGTAGCCTATTAGCAGCTGGACCTGCTCTTAAGCACAAAAAGAGCATTCTAAGCACACAGCAGTTCGCCCACAAGAAGCATCCATAAAGGATGATATCACTCATCAGTATGGGGTGACATTGCTACCCTCCGATATCCACCTTGAGACATGAGCTTGGCAGGTATTCTCATTGCAGTCTCTTCTCTCTGTCAGGGATTTGCTGTCGCCTGACTTGGTGCTGAGCTGTTTGTATCCTGGGGATCATGGAAAGAAAACTCCAAATCCAGCCAATCAGTATCAGTTTGATAAAGTTGGGTGAGTCAGCAGCCTCTGTTTCTCAGTATTTCTGGGGGACCAGAAGCTAGGGACCAGAGGCAAGAAGACCCTGGGGCTGGAAGTCACACATGACCTTTCTTGCTCAGAAGGCAAAGGGATGACATGGAAGGGGGAGGAATCAGAGCTTGGGAACATGAATATGGGATAAGTCCTAGAGAGCTGGCTCGATGGGGGTAGCCCTGTCTTCAGTCCTCAGAACTAAGAAAAAAAAATTTTAATAAAGGAGGAGGAGAAACATGTGATACAATACAAATATATAGCATTTAATTCCCTGAAGATGAATTTTTGAGGGTTTGTTTCTATTTTGAGGCAGGGTATGTATCCCAGGCCAGCTTTGAACTCATCATTCTCCTGCCTCTGCCTCCAGATTGCTGCAGTTACAGGTGTACAATACCACATCTGAGTCACTCTTTCTTTCTTTCTTTCTTTCTTTCTTTCTTCTTTCTTCCTTTCTTTTTTTTTGGTGCTAGTACTAGGCATTGTCCCTGAGCTTTTTCACTGAAGGCTAGCACTCTACTTGAGCCATAGCTCCACTTCCCTTACTAAAATTGCTTAAAAAGTATAAGTGTTTTATAAAATTTTTTAGTTGAGGTTTGTATGTGAGTTAAAGATTGCCAGGGGAAAAGAAAGGAATGAATATGGGAGATTCCAGTGGGAGCTCATGAAGTGGAGGGGCTTCTCAGGAAGCCTGGCTATCAGCAAGCCACACCTGTGGGACTGGCGATCTGCACAGGATAGGAGGAGGGCTATATCTGGGAACCAAAACAAAAATGATTCATCAAATCACTTTTGTCTTTTCACAGCATCCTGACTTTAAGAGACTATGTACTTGACTTAGGTCACCCCTATTTGTGGGTACAGAAGCTTGGTGGCCTCCACTTCCCTAAAGAGCAGCCCCAGGTTTGTACTAACCCTGTCTCCTTGGTTGAGTGGCTCCTCCTTCTCCTGAATTAGATTCCAGAATGGTCTCTGGTCTAGGTCTTGATCTAGCAGAATGCCTGCCCTTGGGACTGTGCCCTATCTTCCATCTGTCTACACAGGACACTGAACTATACTCAGCCTATGTGTTTTTCTTTCTCCCTGGATGTAGTAGTCTCCTAGACGAAGGTAATTTGGTCATTGCTGTAGTGCTACACTCTTCCATGAGCTCTGCTTCCCTCTGTCCTTTGTGTAAGGATGCCAGAAATGAGGCCACTGGCAGAATCTGGCAGGGCAGGTACTTTAGCAAAAGCCTGCCTTTTCTTTTGAGAACCTAGTAGTTTGACTCAATAGCTTATCTATTGTAGTGGATAAATCCTGCCATTCCTAAATTGCACCTATTTTGGGGTGTGAGTGGTCCAGGTGGTACAGGCTGGCAAAGGAGAGGAGAAAGAAGGTACTAGAGGAAGGGAAGTAAGGGCGAGCTCTCAGGTGTGTCTCTCTTCCTGTCATTTGCAGCATACGGTGATCGCTGACCACTGGCAGAGCGCCAGCCACATGGAGACTACCATGAAACTGCTGAAGACCAGAGTGCAGTCCCGCCTGGCCCTCCACAAGCAATTTGCATCCCTGGGTAAGCTAGTAGTTATACAGCAAGGGACAAAAGCAACGGCCTTGTGCTCAGGACTCTTTAATCAAAAAGCCTGGGATTCCTGGCTTTACTGAGCAGGGGAGTTGGCAGTGTCACTGGGAAGAGCTATGAGCCCATGCGGGCAGAGGTCTGAGCTCCCCCTAGAGCCATCAGGACTGTCCTCCCAGAGAGGCCCCACAGCCTTGGGTGCCACAGGTTCACTGACTGGGCAGCTCATTGTAGATTTGATGTTTACCCAACAAGAATTTAGCCTCATTTGGGCTGGGAAGGTGGCTCAGTGGTAGAGCGCTTGCCTTGCATGCCTGAGGCCCTGGGTTCCATTCCTCAGCACCACATAAGCAAAAAGAAAAAAAGAGCTGGAAGTGGCGCTGTGGCTCAAATGGTAGGTAGAGCGCTAGCCTTGAGCTGAAGAGCTGAGGGACAATGCCCAGGCCCAGAGTTCAGGCCCCACGACCGGACCCCCCCCCCAAAAAAAAGAATTTAGCCTCATTCGTGCCAGGCCCCTAGCACAGCATGGGGGAAAGAGCAATGGGTTGGGATTGCACCTTCAGCCCCAGGAATAGTGCTATATAAGGATCTATTTCCTCATCCCTCTCCTAAGAGCTACAGAGGTAAAGTTCTTGGTAGCTGAGCCTTTTTCACTCCTTTGCACCTAGGATTGTGGTGAGTCACTAGCCTAGGTGGTAGGTATATGGGGCTTCTTTTAGTTTATCATGTGCAAGGTACTTGCAGGGTGAGGATAGGTATGAGGGGTGTCAGGTCTCTCTGAGTCCCTCTCAGGAAAGGTTTCCAGGACCCATCTGGAGACCCTCAACCTGCACATGGACATTGGTCTCTCTGGGGCAACCTTGCTTGTCTGTCAGGCCTTGCACCTAATGCCATTACTGAAATTTGTTTTGTCCCAAGATTGGAGGATTGTCATCTAGGATATCTGACTGTGTCGGCATGTTTGTTTATTTAAATGCCAGCAGAAATTGATCCTAGAGCAGTTCTCCTCTTCTTCCTGAGAGGAACTGACCCAGAACACGGGTCAGTTCCTTAGTCAAGGTCAGCTATGCCAACTCAGCTCAGCTATTTGATCTAATTAACAGTCCCTGCCCCAGAGGCACTGGCACTGGTTCTGGCTGCAGGGCTTATGTTTTGCTGCCTGTCATTTGCTTTAAGGATAAAGCACCATAAATGCTGGTGCTCTGTCTGGCCATAGACACATAGCTCTGGGTGTAGATCAGGTTGATTGCCTGTTTTCCTGGCATGTGTTGACCTGGCTATGTCTTGACTGCTAGGTGTTCCTGGACAGATGGCAGGGCCACCGTAGCCCCTCCAGAAAGCCCCAGGCAGATGCTCATTGCACAGCTGTGGCACTTGATTGCTACCTGTGACACCACCTGTTTGGCTCTCTTTTAGAACACGGCATTGTGCCTGTTACCAGCGATTGCCAGTACCTCTTTCCTGCCAAGGTTGTCTCTCGTCTAGTTAAGTGGATGACGATGGCCCATGAGGATTACACGGTAGGTAGAAGAATGACGGACCACCTTGCTGTCCGGAGGACCACATCACCTATCTGCTTCTTTCACCCACCCAACCAAAAGCACCAGGATTTGACTAGAGAAGTCTGTATCTTACTCTTCATCTACGTGCCTGTTCTAGGAGCTGCATTTTACCAAGAACATTGTGGAGGCAGGCCTGGCTGGGGACACCAATCTCTACTACATGGCACTTATTGAAAGGGGCACAGGTAGGTCATTTCTGTGCTGGTCACAGTGATCCTATTCAACAGGAACCACCAAAAATCACACATCAGGGTTTCCTAGAGAAAGTAAAAGGTCCTGGAGTCCTGCTGCAGGGACTTAGCACACTACAGTGGTGAGAGCCACTGAACATCAAGGACTTGAACAATCACATTTAATCCTCAGCAGTCTTAGGGATAGGGGTACCATTCCATTTTTATACCTGAGGAAATTCTGCCTTAATCACAGACCTGGGCTGAGCTTGCTTTATTACTGTCAAACATTAGACCTCTCTTCCTCCTTCTCACTGAAGGCTGGGGTGTTCTCTCAGACTATAAAAGACAGGGTTGCAGGACCTGCCTCCTTAGTCCTGGCACTTCATTTTCTTAAGAGAAATCAGAAGCGGTTGATTCATCCAAGCTCCTCTGGAATCCAACTCTGCCAGGGCTCCTACTGAGACCACCTGGATGCTATGCCTGAGCTGTTATGCTGGTATCCTACTCTAGCCTCAGCAAGCCTGGCCCTGCCTTCTAAGATCTTAACACACAGCCCCATCCCCAGGCTTGCTATTATGGCCACTGAACCAAGGAGGTTATCCGTGTTTCTGTATTAGTCCGTTTCTAGTACTATAGCATAATTCCTGAGGGTTCCTTATAAGGAAGGCTTCATTTAGCCTGAACTTTAGGAGGTTGAAAGTTCTTGGAAGTAGCCTGATCCGTCTCTGTGAGTCTTTCCTGGCAGATGATATCACAATAGCAGGAATGTGTGTGGACAAGATCGGATGGTGAGACAGGAAGCCAGAGAGAGTCAGGAGCCAGGCTTGCTAGTATTTTTCTGTTTTGTTTTGTTTTATTGTTTTTTTTGGTCATGTGGCCTGAACTCTGGGCCTCTGTGCTGTCCCTCAGCTCTTCAGCTCAAGGCTAGCACTCTATCACTTCCGGCCACTTCCAGCTGGTACTGAGGAATCGAACCCAGGGCCTCATGCATACAAGGCAAGCATTCTACAACTGAGCCACCTTCCCAGCCCCAGGCTTGCTAGTGTTATAACAAGTTTCTCTTGTGGCAAACAACCAGAGTCCCTTCAAAGGATAATGACATTGTCTCCCCTAAGACCCATCTATCTCTCTCCAAATCTCACCTCTAAAAGGGTCTATAACATGAGGGTCTTAGTTTCCAGCACATGAACTTTTGGAGGAAGGGGCCTCAAACCATGTCCAAACCACAAGTTCTAGAGAATCTGTTGAAATAGGCAAAGGCTATTACCATAATCAAAAACCAAATATGAACACAGCTCTGCCATCAGGTAAACTCAGATGGCTGCTTTGTAGCTGTCCAATGGGGAAATTCTGTCAGTTTCTTCAAAATTGGTGTGAGGATAATTGTACTCAGAATCATTATGATCAAACACAGTGCCTAGAATGCAGAAAAACTCAATAAATGTTAGTTTTTTTAGAAGGATTTCACAAAACAAAATATATTAAAATTAAAGAAATTAGAGAAAACATATCTGATGTAACTAATACACTGATGTTATAATAATATTGAAAAGAGGAAAACAGGAAGCATGTTTGACATTAAAAAAAAATTCTTAGCCTAGTAGCAAACGAATAACAAGCTGGGCATGGTGGTATAGGCCTTTAAACCTAGCACTCAGGGAGCTGAGGCAGCAGGACCAAGAACTTTAAGGCCAGCCTCGGCTATATAGCAAGACACTATCCCCAAAATCCTTTTTAAAAAAATAGGTAGGGCACGGTGGCTTGTATCTATAATTTCAGCTACTCAGTTCAAGGACAGCCCTGACAAAAAAAGTTAGTGAGGCCCTCCCCCATCTCAACCAATGAAGCCAAGTATGGTCATCCCAACTCTGTGGGAAGTATAAATAAGATCAAGGTCCAATCCAGCTTTGGCAAAAATGTGAGACCCTATTTGAAAAATGAAGCAAAAAGTCCTGGAAAACAGTTTTATTTGTAGAGCAAGTACTAGAAAAATAAAAATAAAAAATCTTCAAAAAGTCAGGTGCTGGTGGCTTACACCTATAACCCTAGCTATTCAGGAGGCTGAGAACTGAGGATCATGGTTCAAAGCCATCCCAGGCAGGAAAGTCCATGAGAAGTAGATCTATGGCTCAAGTGGTAGAGTGCTAATCTTGAACAAAAGAAGTTTAGGGGCCTGGTACCAATGACTCACACCTGTAATCCTAGCTACTCAGGAGGCTGAGCTCTGAGGATCACTGTTCAAAGCCAACCTGGGCAGAAAAGATCAAAAAAGCTGGAAGTGGGTCTGTGGCTCAAGTGATAGAACACTAGCCTTGAGCAAAAAGCCTCAGGGTCAACGCCCAGTCCCCAAGTTAAAGCCCTAAGACTAGCACCAAAGAAAAAAGAAAAAATAGAAATGACAAACTTCTTTCAAGGTTTGAAATTGAAATTGTGGGCAAACCTAAGATGGACTGGATATAGGGAAGCCAGCAAGTAGAACTGGCAAATAGAACGTGGCAAGCTGGGTAACTTTTTCATTTTTTCCCTCTTCTCAGCCAAACTCCAGGCCGCTGTGGTGCTGAACCCGGGATACTCCTCCATCCCACCCATTTTCCAGCTCTGTCTGAACTGGAAAGGAGAGAAGACTAACAGCAATGATGACAACATCCGGGTAAGGTGCACGGAGGGGTGATGGGTGCAGAGAGCCACCCAGAGAGGTGGGCATTACTGCAGCTGAGGGCGTGGACATGGCAGCAGTTCCCAGCCAGGACTTTGGGAAGTGCTGCCTGTGTTGTATAGTGGAGGAAAGGCCTGGACCCATGTCACCCACTTGCCTACTTTGGGGGCCACAGCCATCCTTAGTTATAAAACAGGAAACTGTGGTCATGGACTTCTGGGAGAACATGAATTAACTCAGAAGCGTTAACTGAATGCAGGGATGGGATGACAGTGAGGTCCCTGCATGGTTATTTGCAATCTAAGACTTCATAACACCCTTATGGCCATGAGAAGTTTTTTGGTCATGGGGCTTGAACTCTGGGCCTGAGCGCGGTCCCTCAGCTCTACAGCTCAAGGAGAGCGCTCTACCACTTGAGCTACAGTGCCACTTTCCACTTGAGCTACAGCGCCACTTTCGGTTTTCTGAGTGTTTATTGGAGATAAGAGTTTCTCAGACTTTTCCTGCCTGGGCTGGCTTTGAACCGAGATCCTCAGATCTCAGCCTCCTGAGTAGCTAGGATTACAGGCATGAGCCACTGATGCACAGCTTGGATTTTTCTGAGTAGTTTATTGGAGATGAGTCTCATGGCCTTTCCTGCCCAGGCTGGATTCGAACCACAATCCTCAGATCTTAGCCTCCTGAGTAGCTAGTATTATAGACGTGAGCCACCAGTGCCCTGCTTCCTAAGCTCTTTTGTTCAAGGCCAGTGCCACTTTGAGCCACAGCTTCACTTCTGGTTTTTGGATGGTTAATTAGAGATAAGAATCTCACAGACTTCACTGCATAGGCTGACTTTGAACTTCCATCCTCAGATCTCAGCCTCCTGAGTAGATATGATTATAGGTGTGAGCCACCAGCACCTGGCTTGATGAGCACATGTTTGACCCTAGTGCCTCCTGATTTGGGTCCTGTGTTGAGATCCATTCTTTACATACTCATCTTCTGGGCTGTGGTCATTTGAAGCAGGGAAAGTTATGGTGAGAATCAGGAAGACCCCGTCCTTTTAAGGAAAGACTTTTAGATGATCAAGTCAGTCTGGCTTCATCACAGGCCCAATTCCTATTAGGCTCTAGTGCAGTTCTTGTGGCTTCAGGGCCAACTAGTGACAGAGGCCCAGCCAGTGTGGCTAGCCATGGCGATAAGGAGTGCTGAAGGCACTGGCTTTCCCACTGTACAGGCCATGGAGAGCGAGGTCAACGTGTGTTACAAGGAGCTGTGTGGCCCCCGGCCTAGCCACCAGCTCTTGACCAACCAGCTGCAGCGGCTGTGTGTGCTACTGGATGTCTACCTGGAGACTGAGAGCCACGATGACAGTGTGGAGGGACCCAAGGAATTTCCCCAGGAGAAGATGTGTCTACGGCTCTTCAGGTGGGACAAGTGAAGGGATTCTGGTGATACTCTGGAAAGACTTGAAGTGGAGTTGTGGCTCAAGTGGTAGAGCACTAGCCTTAAGCACAAGAGCTCAGGGACAGTGCTCAGGCCCTGAGTTCAAGCCCCAGGATGGGTGAGCGCACACACACACATGCACACACACAAAATGTGTATAAAGCTCTGGGGTGATTGCTGGCACAAGTCAGGGAACCAGAATATGCCCACAGGTGCTGACGACTGGATTTAGAATAACTAGGCTCACAGCACCTCTGGCTACTTTTCCTCTTTTTGGTCTTAGGTCCTTTCTTTTCCTTTTACCTCTCCTTGTTCTCTATCAGTATAAAGGGGGCCTCAACTCCCCCCAACACTCCCCTGGTTCCAGCCCTTCTCCTTATATGGCACCTCCACTGGCCTGGTTCATCATATTTCCCAATATCCAGCTGGCTGCAGGCAGCTGCTGCTCTCCCCTGTGGGTCTGTGTGAGACCTCAGCCCACTGTAGCATGTTTCCAGGGTGAGATTCCTTAGCACAGCCTATGATCATTTTCTCTTCACAAATGGTTCCGAGGCCGTCAGCACTCTGGGAAGATGCTTCTTTGGTGACTCACATGCAATCATTGCCTCAGCTGGTGGATGGGAGGTTCCTCACCAGCTGACCCACGGGGTGAGGCAAAAGTGACCTGAGGCACAGCTCAGTCTCTGTGGAAGACTGTTGAGCTGAGGCTCCCCATCAGCACTGTTCCTACATGTGTCCAGGGGACTCTGCTTTTCTGGCGTTGGGTGGCCTATGAGGTCATAGATATGAGTCAGGGCTTTAGGCCCAGAAAGAGAACTCAACAGGTTCAGATTCTTCCCTGTAAGCTGGGCGCTGGTGGCTCACACCTGTAATCCTAACTATTCAGGAGGCTGAGTTCTGAGAATCATGGTTCAAAGCCAGAAACAGGCAGCAAAGTCTATGAGACTCTTATCTCCAATTAACCACCAGAAAACTGGAAGTGGTTCTGTGGCTCAAGTGGTAGAACTCTCACCTTGAACTGAAGAGCTCAGGGACAGTGCCCAGGCCCAGAGTTCAAGCTCCATGACCAACAACAACAACAACAAAAAATCCTGTCTGTGTAATAAGGGTCTCCACTGCAACCGCTGTAAAACCCCACCTATCACAGGTGCTCCTGGGAGGATGGAATTAGGTGAGATAGAAATGGCTGGTGTAGGGCTGGGAAGGTGGCTCAGTGGTAGAGTGCTTGCCTTCCATGCATGAGGCCCTGGGTTCGATTCCTCAGCACCACATAAGCAAAAAGAAAAAAGGCAGAAGTGGCGCTGTGGCTCAAGTGGTAGAGCACTAGCCTTGAGCTGAAGAGCTGAGGGACAGTGCCCAGACCCAGAGTTCAGGCCCCACGACTGGACCCAAAAACAAAAGAAATGGCTGGTGTAAAGTGCCTAGCACAGTGCAGGTAGAGAAGCCCTCAGCCACTGGTGGGCAATCAAAACCTTCCCTCTCCTCATTTTACAATTCCCCCCAAACCCCAGACACACACATACACACCCTTTACTAAAAACCATATATTAACTTTGTTACCATTAAATGTATATCATACAGAGAAATGGGGAAGGAGCACACACACACTTTTCACTCTTTTTTTTTTTTTTGCTAGCCAGCTGTTCCGTGTGCTGTGTGTTCTGTGAGGTTTTGCTTATACCTGAGTGCCACAGGTTCAGACCTTCAGACTCAGGTCTTCCCCAGCCTGGCCATGAGTCAACCTTCCTATGGCACAAAGGCCTTGGTATCAGACCAAATTTTAAATTTGCCACTGTTCTTTCCTGGTCATACAGTGTTGGGCAGAAACCTCACGGTCCTGGGTTATGTCTTCCCCAGTAAAGTGGATACTAAGATAGAAATGGTACTGAGAGGTAAAGTGTAAACCCACAGCTCTTGGAAGATGGTGAGGTTCTGGTCAGGCCCAGGCTACTGCCTCCTTCAAAGTGAACTTGAAAGAATTTTTTTGCCAGGCTTATAGCTGTTATCTAGCTAGTAAGGAGGCTGAGATCTGAGGATTGCAGTTCAAAGGTAGCCCGGGCAGGAAAATCCATGAAACTCTTATCTCCATTTAACTACCAAAAAGCAGAACTAGAACTGTGGCTCAAATGGTAGAGCACCAGTATTGAGCAAAAATCCTAAGGGACAGCACCCAGACCCTGAGTTCAAGCCCAAGTACTAGCACAGAGAGAGAAAGAGAAGGAGAGAGAGTATTTTTCCTTTATACTTTTAAAATGACAAAGTGATGTTAAATATGTGAACAATAATCTAAAACTTGCCCTGACCCCCAAATGCCCACTGCAGTGAGGCCCTTCCAGGTTTGTGTTCACACATTTACAAACACATAGAGATATTTTTACAGAAATACTGTCACACCTTCCTGTACCATGGTCTGATTTTCTCACAGTTGTCCTGTAACTGCCTTTTTTTCTCCTAACAACTACATACTATTCCCTGTGTGAATGAGCTGTAATTTATTTTATGGTCTGGAAGGTACGGAATCAGCTGCTAACTCTCTTCTTGTTTCTCTAGGGGTCCAAGCAGGATGAAGCCGTTTAAATATAACCATCCTCAGGGATTCTTCAGCCATCGCTGACCTCCTATCCAGCCTGCTCTCCCTCAACATCCTGCCCTGAGTCCTGGGCCTCTGCTCTCTTCTCTGGCCGTGTGTGATCCTGGAGATTCTCCAAAAACACTAGCTAATTAAACTGGCACCAAATGGCCTTTGTCTGAGGCAGTTTTATAATCTGGAAGGGCACATGGGAGCCAGGGTGAAAGAACATTTGTGGGTAGGCTTTTTAAAGTTGTCCAAAAAAAGCAAAATGCAAAGGAATTTGGATTCTGCAGAGACATGGCACCCACTTTTCCACATATGCCTTGCTTTTACTTTGGTGGGGTAGGGTGAGGGGGTCCCATTATCTTGGTATTTCTTCTCCTAAGTCACTGCTAGTAGGAGGTTGCAGGAAAAAATCAGTCAGCAGAGCCAAAAAACTTCTATATCCTTCCACCTATCCAGTTATTGTCTCTAATGGCCAGAGTTTCTGATTATTGGATGGTTTTATGGTAGTAGTGGTTGTGTTTTGCTTTTGATGAACTGAAGTCCTTGTGTTGGCTAAGCAGGTGATCTACTCAAACCATACCTCTAGTATCCATGTTTTTAAAGCCTGTCTGTGGGCTGGGAAAGTGGCTTAGTGGTAGAGTGCTTGCCTAGCATGCATGAAGCCCCAGGCTCAATTCCTCAGTACCACATAAACAGAAAAGGCTGGAAGGGGCGCTGTGGCTCAAGTGGTAGAGCGCTAGCCTTGAGCAAAAGCACAGGGACAGTGCCCAAGCTCTGAGTTCAAGCCCCAGGACTGGCCAAAAAAAAAAAATGTAAATAAAAGACAAATACATCATGAAAATCATTTTAAATCTTGTCATTTCATGGTCAATGAGAGCAGTGTTCGCGAATTCCATGCAGAACTTCTGGCCATGAATAACAACAACAGTGCCATAGCTTGAGAGGGAGAACGTGCGATGTTTTGAGGACAGGCTTCCAGATAAAGGCATAAGTGCCTCAAAAAAAAAAAAAAATGGTTTTAAGCCAGGCACTGGTGGCTCACCCCTGTAATCCTAGCTACTCAGGAGGCTGAGATCTGAGGATTGCGGTTCAAAGCCAGGCCGGGCAGGAAAGTTCATGAGAATCTTATCTCCAATAAATCATCAGAAAACTAGAAGTGGCGCTGTGGCTCAAGTGGTAGAGCACTCGCCTTGAGCTGAAGAGCTCAGGAGCAGCACCCAGGCCCAGAGTTCAAGCCCCATAACTGACAAAAAAACAAAAACAGAAAAACAATTTATGGGCTATAAGGGATCATAATATTCATTGCTGGGTGCCGGTGGCTCATCCTGTAATCCTAGCTGCTAAGGAGGCTGAGATCTGAGGATCACAGTTCAAAGCCAGCCCAGGCAGGAAAGTCTGTGAGACTCTAATAAACCACCAGAAACATGTGCCTTGAGCTGAAGGGCTCAGGAACAGCACCCAGGCCCAGACTTCAAGCCCCATGACCAATTAAAAAAAAAGAGTTTGAAGCTGGACACTAGTGGCTTTTGTCTATAATTCTAGCCATTCACGAGGCTGAAATCTGAGAATCCCAGACAAAGCCAAGAGGCTTCCCCCATCCGCCTCTCAAGTTTAACCAGCAAAAATCTAGCATGGCCCAAGTGATAGAGCCTCAGCCATGAGCAAGAGCCCCAGTACTGAAAATAATAATAGTGATGATGATGATTATTTGAACGAAGGAATATTTAGAAAAATTCTGAGGGAAATATTTGCAAAATTATCTGGGGCTGTAACAGTGGTAGAGTGCTTTCCTAAAGCCCAACACTGGGAAAAAAAAAAAAAAAGTTACCTTTGTAATCCTACAACACAAGTCAGTAAATGGTGACAGTATTTTGGGACACTTGTCAGAAAAATTATAGTCCATCATTACTCAATTCAGTATTCCATTTAAGAAAGGCACACAGGAGTAGAGGGAAGAAGGGTGAACAAATGCAGTCATTGTGTACAATCTATGTGGTAAAAATTGCAGTATGCAACTTGTGGGCAGGGACAGGATGGGGAAATGAGGGAAAGTGAAGGAAGGGTAACAGTGTCCGAGAAGCATTTTATTCATTTTACTTGATTTACCAAATTGTAACCCCTCTGTACAACTCCTTAATGACAATCAGAAACAAAAAATAAGAAATAGTACTGTGGCTCAAGTGATAGAGTGCGAGCCTAGCCTTGAGCTGAAGAGCTGAGGGACAGTACCCAGGCCCAGAGTTCAAGCCCCATGACCGAAAGAAATAAGAAATAGTGCTAGGAGTGTAGGTCAGTGATATAGTGTGTACTTAGCATATGTGAGGCCCTAGTTTCATTCCCCAGGACCAAATAAAAGAAGAAAAATAAAATACAAATATAGGGATCAAAAATGGTGTTTCGCACCTGTAATTCTAGAGGCAGAGGCAGGAAGACTGTTGAGTTCAAGACCAACCTAGGATACATGTAACACCATGTGTCAAAACAAAACAAGTCAGCCACTGGTGGCTCACACCTGTAATCCTAGCTACTCAGGCTAAGATCTGAGGATCAAAGTTCAAAGCCAGCCCTGGCAAGAAAGTCCATGAGACTCTTAATCTCCAATTAACCACGAGAAAACAAAGTGGTGCAGTGGCTCAAATTGGTAGAACTCAGAGACAACACCCAGGTGCTGAATTTAAGCCCTATGACTGAGAAAAAAAGGAAAAACAATGTGTTGCAAGTAAAATCGAATTGGCTACCTCCCAAGACTAAAAGAATTTTACCTTTCATGAAAGTCGAAACATTTTTCTCTTCACCATGCTGAAGTTTGTTTTGTCTCTGCTGTAATTATATTTATTCCAAGTGGACAATTCCTGATTACCCTTGAATAGAGTGTACCTCTGGGATTAAAAAAAATAAAAAGCTCCAGCCTACCCTCTGAGCTGATCACCCAGCATGCCCTGGGTAAGGGTTTTCTGAAGGTGAACTGGCAAGCTCCTAGCCCTGTGAGGTCCTTTCTTTTACAGATAAAGATCTGAGTCCAGTGCAAGAAGGTAATGGTATCTTAGCTGGTCATTAAATGTGACCACCGGAGGGTCTCTGTCCCAGCATGTGTCATGTCTTCAAATATCAGAGGTGGGTGTTACACAGCTCAGAGGTCCTTGATCTGCACGTGTCACTCACCTTGGCTGGTCTGGGACTTGCTATGTGTCCCAGGCTGGCTTTGAACTCATGGTCTTTCTGCTTTTGCCTCTGAAGTGCCAAGGTTAACACATAACACCATTATGACAGTAAGTGCTTTGGATTGATGGATTGATTTTTTTTTTTTTTTTGGCAGTCCTGGGATTTTGAACTAAGAACCTTGCATTTGCTACTCAGGTGCTCTACCACTTGAGTCACACCCTCAGCCAGGAAGTGTATTTTTACAAGCTCCTTGGGTGTAGTTGGCCCTATCTCTTCTTGAAAGGTGCTGTTCTTCCCTTCCCCATTTTTCCTAGTGACTCCAGTAATGAGGAGGGCTGGGCCTAAGAGCTCCCTGCTTCCATCTCCTCGCCTTGTTGCTTTTTCTGCAGCCCAGGCTTCTAGACACTTTGCCTGTGGAGTAAGATCTTGTTTTTTTCCTGACCTACTTGCCTGGGGCTTTGTCCCTGCTGGCATCTCCTTGGTGTGGCCACCTTCAGGCCTTGTGTCTTACTGCCTGTGCTGAATCAGATTAAAACTGGGCCTAAAAATAGTTTAAGGGCCCTGCATTGCAGCCTCTGTTCCTGGTCTTGGCTGGAAGGCAGCCAAACTGACTCAGCACAAAAGCTCATCTCCAGAAGGGAGCTCAGACCCATCTGCAAATGTCTAAGAGGAGTCCTGCTTCTTAGGCAGGGGATGTTACGCTTGCCATTCTCCAGAACACATTTTCCCTTTTCAAATAGCAGGCTGCACAAAGGAATCCTTTGGGCTCAAGGAGGAAGGTATTAAAACAAAAGAGAAACCAGGACAATCTAGGCCCTTTCAGCTGCTTGTTCGGGCTGCTTGTTCATTCCAAGGATGGACAGATCAGGGGAAAACAGGCCCATCTTGGGAGGACCTAGAACAATTCCTTGGGAGATTCTTGCAGTTTTTCACTGGGCCATGTATAAGACCAACCCCTCTCTTTTATCACCTTGCCCTTGGAAGGTCGTTTCCTGCCTTTTTATTTATTCATTGCCATGTTAGGGATCAATGCTTATTCAATGCTTGCTAGGCAATTGTTCTGTCTACCACTAAGCGACACCCCAGCCTGTCCTTGCTTTTTTTTTTTTTTTTTTTGCCAGTCACGGGGCTTGAACTCTGGGCCTAGGTGCTGTCTACTCAGCTCTTCAGCTCAAGGCTAGCACTCTACCACTTGAGCCACAGTGCCACTTCTGGCTTTTTCTGCTTATGTGGTGCTGAGGAATTGAACCCAGGGCCTCATTAATACAAGGCAAGCACTCTACCACTGAGCCATCTTCCCAGCTCCTTGCTGCCCTAACTTTTTTTTGTGTCTACCAGTACTGAGGCTTGAACTCAGAACCTGGGCTCTGTCTCTTAGCTTTTTTGCTCAATGGCTAGTGCTCTGCCACTTGAACTACTCCCCACCCCCATCCCCCCTTCTAACTTTTTGGTGGTTAGAAATAAGAGTCTCATGGACTTTCCTGCCCAGCCTGGCTTTGAACCTCAATCCTCAGATCTCAGCTAGGATTTCAAGTGTTAGCCACCAGTTCTTAGCTTCTTGGTTTCTTCTGCTCTCTTTCCTTACTTTTTTCCCAGTATATGCTTATGTGTTTTCTCTAAAAGACTCATAATTTCAAGGATCTTCTTGCTGATCACTTTGATAAAAACAGAGCTTTAAAAAGCCCTATTCATGCTGGGTGCCAATGGCTCATGCCCATAACCCTAGCTACTCAGGAGACTGAGATCTGAGGATCACCATCCAAAGCCAGCCTGGGCAGGAAAGTCTGTGAGACTCTTATCTCCAGTTAACCACCAAAAAACTGGAAGTGGTGCTGTGGCTCAGGTGGTAGAGTGCTTAGAGCTGAAGAGCTCTGAGACAGCACCCAGGCCCAGAGTTCAAGCCCTACGACCAACCAAAAAAAAAAAAAAAAGCCCTATTCATGGGTAGAAACAGAGTGGTCAGATTCCCAAAGAACGTTGTACCTGTCTGATGAGAATAGGCATTAAGCATCTATTCTGAGTGAGGCCCTGAGCTAATCACAGTGTCACTCACTGTTCTGTTTATTTATGAATGTATGTGGTGACTCTGGGTTTGTTTGTTTGTTTGTTTCCAGTTGTGGGGCTTGAACTCA